AAGAACACATAATATAAAAGGAATTCAGCTAATAATAATACATTTGATAGTGATACTGACTTAGCAAACTATAACAAACATGACACGCTAATACAAAATATTAATAACAAGAGAAATTAGTGTGATTGAAAGGGTATATAGAAACTGTTTCACTTTTCAATCTAATCCTACCTCATGGTGCTGACTGCAACTTTGGCTTCACATGTACTAGGCAAGATCAAACTTTTCTTTTTCCCATGTAAGCTCAAAACCACTCTAAAATAAGTGAAGGCTCATAATTAAAACCAAAGAGAGTTAAGAGTGTCTGCCACTCTTGCAGAGGACCCACGTTCAGTTCCCAACACCTGCACCTGACAGCTTGCAACTACCTGAAACTCCAGTTCCAGGAGACCTGACAACCATCACGCATGTGCACAAACACACAAATACATAAATAAAAACAAAACCAAAGACATATAAAAGGACAATAAACAGTAGGGCTACAGCTAATAATGGCATCTGTAAACTCTCTGAAAATGTCTGACCCTTTGACACTTTCCCCTCTTATTTCTTCATGTTACTATGTAAAAGAATATTAAAAATACAGTGGTGACCTTGCATGTGCAGCTCTACACCTACAATGAGCACTGGGGGGGGAGGGCGGTGGCCTGATTTTGTATTTTGATGCTAATGACTGGCTTTCACGATCTGGTTACTGCCTGGTACACTTATCCTTGTTGTGTAAACCTGCCTAACACATTAGACCTGATTGGTTGATTAAAGGCCTAAAACCTGGGCAGGGCAGAATGGGGTAGGCATAGCTAAGCTTCCTGGGCTTCAAGAGAATCATGGGAGACAGACAAAACCACTTGAGGCACGAGAAAGGCCTCCAAGAATGGCATGGATAGAAATAACACCAAATATAAGCAAGTATTCATAAGATTATGGATGGAAGGTACCCCAGCTGAGGATGGTCAAGGAGGATGGCATTGGATAGGGGCTGGGAGACTGATGGTGAAGTTACTGAGACAGTGTAGGTGAAGTATCTGCCCAGCCCAAAGGTAAATAAGGCAATTATAAAATGTAACAGGTGTCTGTGTCTTCTTATTATAGCTGGTTAAATAATACTGCCGTAATAACTACAGGGCTAAAAAATAACATTATGTAGCCCAAACCCATCGTCAACAGCGCCCAAAAGTATAGGCAAGTTATATACAGTGACTGAAAGTGGAGAACCTTACGCTGTCAAATGAAGCAGAGACTACCTAACCTCCCCCCACTTACACGGGAAATAGCAAAAGTCAAGCTTAATGGAAATAGACTCAAGAGTAGATACTGTGTGAGGCAATATCCGTCAAGCGGCTCATACTTTCAGTAATTCCTAGCCCTGTCATACAGAATGCTTGAAAACTCTACAGAAAAAGTGCATTTTTACTAGTATTTACTGATTAAGAACATAAAGAAGATTGCCAAAATTAAAAGATGGTTCTTGACAGAAAAAAAACATTTAAATTTTTCTATACTAACAGAACGTTTTTGTATCAGGGTAACTTGTACAACATGATTTATCCAACACAACTGTACTTCATCTGTAGCTATTTAAAGCTGTGCACTAGGACAACTAAGCGGGGCCAGGAAGCCGATACATGACCACTCTTCTTCTGCAAAGCAAACCTGACACAAGAGACAGTGTAGTGATCCCTGTCAATATTGGCCTTGCTGCTGTTTTATTTTCATGTGTGCATGCATGTGTGTATATATAACATACATGTTTAGATTATTGCTGCTTTCTATACCCCTACATCATTTTCTGAGGCAGGACACAAGGAAGCTGGTCTCTTGGAAGCCGTGGCCATCATCTGTCACTGACGTTCCGGTGGAACATTAGAAAACGCGCTAGCTGGCTAAGGACTGGGATATTCTTGATGAAGGTTACTCATCTTTGGGGGTGTGAGTGGCCCCAGTGGTTCACTTTGATCTAATAAATTAAAGGAGGATTGCTGAGTGCTTATTTTCCATAATCTGTATTTTAACCTTCTGCTTTCATGGTTTTCTTTCTAAAGCACAGGACTTTCCTACTTCCTGGTTGTTGACGGATGGGGTTACTTGCACACAAGTTTTTTTAAATAAAAAATCACTCTAGTGCATCGAGTGACAAATTATAAAAAACTAACAGCCCTCATTTTCCTTTCAAGTAGAGTCACTTAGGTCAGGAATGACAGCATATTAAACTGTTTTTCACAGTCATCTTCTACCAACATAAGTCTATTCTGAAATGTACCAAATTATTAGTGTGAAATGACAATACAAGGAATTTCATATGCAAACTGTATTTTGTAGGGCATCATTTTTCTCAGACAGCTTTCTACTTCCAGAACTCTCCACCTCTTGCTAAATATGCTCACCATTTGAAGCATCATGTGACTCCATCATAATGAAATCCTTACCTTTTGGTTTCACAGTCGATTAGAGGCAGTGGTCTTCTGGGTCCTCAAACACTCCCACTACTGTGTATTAAGGCTTTTATACCTACTCCTCCTCCTGCCTGGAATAGCTGCCTCTGACAGCTCTACTAGCTGACTGCTTCCAGTGATTCAGAACTCAACTCAAATACCACCCACCTGTGTGCTTTGCTGTTCTAACACCACTTCTGACATCTTTCCCCACTATCTTTATTATAACTGCAACATAAGCTATAGAAGAAATTTTTTTATTACTGCATTTTTAGAGCATAATCAAATATATAGCCACTCAATAAACATGACTGAATAAGTAAATTATTTTAACCAAAATGTTCTAAAACCAAAAGTTCTAGTCTGACCTACTATTAAAAAGTATATTCATAAAGATATGTGGTAGAAGGATACATTTGTAAAGATACATAAAAAAAAAAAAATGAACCAAAATATTCTATAGGTACAATAATTAGCTACTTGGGGTCTTGCAACCTAGTGTATTAGCAGGAGTGGAGCTTGGCATTTTCTTAACTTTCACAGATATATAATATACATACATATATATATACACATACACACACATATATACATATGTATATAAATAATCATATGTATATAATTAATTATATAATTTAATTAATATAATTATTATATAATTTAATTAATTAATATAATTATTATATATAATTGTATATCATATATATCAGACAATATATTATATATATAACATATAACACATAAGTCAGAAAATATTTGAGAATTAACAAACTTTGAATAGGGAATGGTGTTAAAGCATTCACAGGACTATAAACAACTGACAAACTTACCAGAATTTTTTAACATTTTTAAATTTTATGTATATGAGTGTTTTGCTGGCATGTTTTTCTGTGTATCACTTGTGTGCCCTCAGAATCCAGGAGGGCATCAGACTGCCTGGAACTGAAGTTACAGATGGCGGTGGCCTACACCACGTGGGGTGCTGGGAACCTTCGCCAGAGCAACACGTGCTCTTAACTGAGTCATCTCTCCAGCCCCCAGGATTCCGTTTTAACTGTCTACGTTCACAAGATGACCAAACACACAAAAAAAATGTTTCTGACAAACACAGAAAAATGAATAGCCGAAGTGTATGACTATATCATAGAGTTTAAACTACATAATTAGATGTCCAGCAGGATCTGTATTTTACTAGTGTAGGGCGGCTAACTTCCTATCTTCTGTATGGACTTAAAGCCTCATAAGAAAGGCTTTCTTTTCTCCTAAAATAGCATCATCTCACCTGGCTTTATACAGTACGTTCTCTTCAGAAGACAATGATCTCTGTAAACAGTGGAACAGGTCCAGTTTTTATGTTTTTAGGGTTTTTATTGTTGTTGTGTTTTTTGCTTTTTTTTTTTTTTTGCATTTAACAGAGGTGCAACATAAGGAAGTAAAGACACTAACAGAAACACTGACAGATCGCACAACTGCATTTTATATGCGTGTTTAAAATACTGAGTTCCAATAATAGAAATTATGCAGGCTGAAATTCCATACTGCAAAAATGTCCATTATCTATATATTAGTTCTTTTCTAGTGCTTTGGCTTTTAAATCATTAACAAATAAAATGTCTAAGTCCCTTCTCAAACATAAAACAAAACAAAAATAAAAACAAATCCCCAAATCAAGGTAAATCAGCACATATACTCATCCTTTAGAATAATTCAATTGGGTCATACTAAGTAGAAAACAAGTTTTCAAGTCTGGCCATCTGGCTACTGGCCTTAACATTGGATGCCTTGAGAACTAATAGCAGCAGAATACTGAAGAATTCATTAGGCAAACTCATGCACAGTAACTGTAAGAAAAAGAACTATGAAGGCGATACTGATATGCTCCAATATATTTGCTTCAAAAATCACTATGAGAGGAAGTAAGGTGCTTTAAATTAGTAGTCATCTAAATCCAAAAATTTCAGAAATAAGTTACACAAATAAGTGATGTTATTAGGGTGTATTTTAGACAGTAGCATATCAGGATGATCTTGGGGCTCAACTACGTTGAGATGTGCCAGGACTGTAAATATACAATGAACTTACCAGATCTCACACATAAAAGAGGACAAAAATGTTTCATGTTCTAAAGACAGTATGTGTTGAAATACTAATAATCTGGACATAAAGGATTACGCACACTACACTGTAACATCGCACTGGCAGCTGAGACTATATTATGGTTAGAAAACACTGACTTAGAACAACTGAGCTTTGGTCAATGATAGGAGGATAGTGAATTTGAGGTCAGTCTGAATTACACTGTAACCAAACACCAACAAACCCCAAACCTGCATTACCCTCAGTTGGGTACATGGCAAATGTGAAGACAGTATTGAGATACTGCAGCATGGATATATCACACCTCAGCTACTAATTGGTGAAGTGCTCTTCCTGGGTTCTGAGGCTCCCTCATTTCCAGAAAATGAGCACAGAACTGCTGCGTTCTGTAATTACACCTAATAACGTTGAGACACTCAGTGAGGTAATGAATAGACACTTGTGGGTTGTGGAGGGAAAGGTCACGTTTACCTTTATGTGTTCTAACACAGCAGTGGCAACATTTGTATGGAGATCAATAAGTCTTTTTTTCTCAAGGAGTTCTGGCAAAGAACTGAAAGTTAGAAAAAAACTGAAAATTAGCCACAAAATTTTAAAGAAGCAATGCCTGGTGCTTCATGAGGAACTCAGAAGACTGAATCAGTGATGAATTAACCTGTCAGCTGAACCAGCTTGAACACGTATCACATGTATCACCTTAATACAGGTGAAGGGTTATCTCAAAAGTCTGGTGATAACACATGATTTCTATAGTTTCACATTCTGTGTCCAATGTTTAAAAGGTTTAGAATAAAGTAAGATTAATGGAAACATGCTTTTACCTATAGTTCTAAAAGTACTGAAAACCTGCTTTAACTGAATTAAGAAGACAGTGGTAGCAACAGCAAAATTAATGATGACTGCCTGGCCCTCTTTTATCACTAATATACTTCTCGTAAAATTACTCAAATTGGAAATTTGAAACTATTCACAGGGGCTGTATTTCTGCTGTATCTGAGAGAGCAGAAATCTGCCTAAATGTGTTCAAAGCATTCAGCTTTTCAAATTCAGAGGCACATTTGCTAATATCTACTGTTCCCTTTTATTAAAATTATCTCTGCTTTTTAACTTCCAAAGTGAACCTCCTCATTAGAAAGGCTGCAAAGGGGTATACTTGGGCTCACCTGACAGCTGATGTGAGCTTAGCAGTGTTATCAGAAAGCATGCTGATGGCTCCTTCATCCTCTCCTTCTAGTCCCTGTGAAGGGATGAAAAGGCTCTTACAACTTTAAAATTGGCAAAAAAGTCAACACATCCCAAATAGTACTGGCAAGCAATAATCAACTGGGTCACCCAGCATACACAGCATCCTCTGGAGGTAAGCACACACATTTTTGTCAGCTACAGAAGGATAGTAGCTACCAGTTTAGCAGGAGAGTAAGTAAAGGGTCAGCTGGCACTATCACTCAAGAAATGGCCAGGCATTTGCTGCAGGTGGCACAGGTCTTACGGCTGAAACCACAGCACAGAAGAACAAGCGGTCCTGGGGTACACATCTCTAAAAACAATCATATTACTTGTATTATTTCAAATCACATCCCATTCCTTAAGATACAGTTTCTTCTTAATATTTAGACTTATTCTGAAAACAAAACCTAAGCTGGCTGTGGTGGCTTAGGCAGGACTGCCAGGAGTTGGAGCTACAGTGTGAGACAGTTCGTGAAAAACAAATGACTTTAAGTTGACAATAATTTGTTGTTATTCAAGTAATAAATAGTCTTACACTTTTATGAAGGAAAAGGAAGTAAATGTTTCTTGTTTTTTGATTGTTTTTCGAGACAGGATTTCTCTATGTAACCTTGGCTGTTCTGGACTCACTTTGTAGACCAGCCTGGCCTGGAACTCACAGAGATCCTCTTGCCTCCCTGAGTACAGGGATTAAGGATATGCACCACCACGCCCAGTTGGAAGGAAGTTTTTTTTATTAAACTTCTGCAGATGTCCTTCCTATACTTTTATTCTTGGGGTGCAAACAGGATCTTACCATAATGCTTTTTAGTCGTTTGACCTCATCTTCTTGTGCTCTGTAGGATTCTAGTTCTTGTTGGACTGATTCTGCAACTTCTGGGAAGGGGCTGAAACAATATTGCACAAGATTAGCATTGTATATGATAGTAAAAATTCATGTTTTACATGTGTATTTTGAATATATACAACACTATTTTTAAAATATATAGCTTTGAATATAATTTATATATAATATAAATAGAAAACAGCAAACATAAGTAAAAATCTCAGTGCCTCTCTGACAATATGTAATTTTGTGTATACCACCATTACAGAAGGAAATGTAGATACTGAATTCCAAGGTAAAGAATAGTATTTAAAATATTTTAAACATATTTCAAACTACCATATCAGAAAAAGATAGTAACAGCTTTCTCCTTAAGAAGCCAAATCTTTGTTACAAAAACATGGCTTTCTTTCAATTTTTTTCTTAAGTTCTAAGAATAAAAAAAGAGATAAAGTACAAACCACTCCCACTCCCACAGATTAAACTACAGCTATCTTCTACTTGTCTTTAAACCCTGGGAAGATGAGCCCCAAAGCACCCAGATCAAGGGTAGAGACAGACCTGTATCTTTACAAACACATTTAAAATGCTCCCAAGACCACCAATGAAAAGCACTGGGTTATTTCTTAAAGAAATAGAAATTTTCTTTGTTTAGAATGATTTCTCTGAACATAATGGCAACTAGATAATCTCTGGACTTTAGACTTAGGTTCTGCCTCCCCAGATATATAGTATGGGGTGTATAGGAGGGACAACATACAACAAAAAGGAAAACTACAACCCCAAAGTTTTTCTATCATACACTCAAATGAAAGCCAGGTCCATGGAGCCAATAGTGGAGGTCAGAAAGACTCCTGTGCAATCTACAGGAAGAGCTCTTGAAGAGAAGTGAGTCTCTAAACAACTAGTGAAGTGAGAGGAGACGGAAGGACTGAGCAATACTGCCACTCATCTGCGACTCATGTCACAAGAGCTGACGCTCTGTGACCCTGACTACTGTGTCAGTGACCTTTGCGCTGTGTCTCAGGTCCTCTCTGACCTAAATGTTTTAATTGCTGATGTTTTCTCATTTACCTTCCTTTATGTTTCTGCCAAAATTTATCAACTGGAGTTAAATCGTAAGACTTCTTGTTTTTCCTCTTTGGTCTAGCACCAGCTGGAGAATTTTCCACTCCTGTAGATTCTTCCAGGTTTACTCTGTTTAAATGGAAATCCTAGGAAACAGTAAACTTGTTTAAAATAACCACTTTCTAAGTTGAAGAGTCACAACTTTTCCTAGACAAGGAAAATAATAAGTGTTGCTGCCCTTGCCAGTACTCCCAAGCACAATACGGACTAAACTAACATTTAGAAGGTGCCCTTCCGACCCTCTACTATCCATGAATGTGCTCTCATTGTTTCTGAAGTAACCAAATTTCAAATACACACAGAAGAAGTCATATTTTAAGTTCATCGTTTGTACTGTCATTTACGAAGACATTTCAGAGCATTCTCTCATTTTTTATTATGTTTTTATGATTATGGCTGTTTTTAAATGGCTATGATTATGTGTTTAAAAGGTTAAAATCCAATAAAGGTTAAAGCTACAAAATAGCAGCGCCTCCTTTCACATGGGTCACTCTAGCAGTGGCCACCATTCTCTGCGTTGGGCTAATTTTACTCATGCGAGGCTTGTTTTGTTTTTCTTTTTCCCTTTATTTTTCAAAACACAAACACAAAACAAGTAAAACTTAAGTCAAGCTCTTCTATCCTTTCTTCCCTTTTTCACACTATGCCTGTGGCTTCTTTTACATTTTAGGGTCAGCTTTGTTCAGGAACGGTGAGTTAAGAGATAAAACATGGTTTTCTGTCCCCCCTCACAAGTGCACAAGTTTGAATGCTAGTGCCACAGTCAGGCTGCAAAACATTTGGGGGTTAAGGTCATGACACTGAATGAAGGAAGTGGGTCCACCCGGGGTGACCGCTCCAGTTCCTTCTGTTTCTTCAATACGGACACGATACAGCAAGCAGAGGTTATGACAGGAGCCATCCTGTCACCTTCCTGCCATGATGGACTACATCTCCTCAAACCACATGCCAAATTAATTCTTCCCTTGGGCAGGATGGGAAGAGGGGATAAAACATGGCTATTTGAAGGTGATGAACAGAATGATGAGCAAGAAAGAAACATGATCAGGTGTAACTGATTCAGTCATTTTGGTTCTGAGGTACAGGCAATTGTTTTTTAGGTCTGAGCAAGTTAAGCAGACTGAGCACAATCTAATCTCTTCTGGATAAAGCAAGGTCATCAGTGTTGACTTGGGATCCTTAAGGGAACACTTTCTCGCTCTGACAAACTGATGCTTTACTACAGCTTACTGAAGCATCACTTCCCTTCTGCTATAAAAAAAAAGGTGTGAAATATAAAGATGCCTAAACTGCCAGACGAAAGAAATGTGTCTATTTTCTCTCAAACAAATGAGGATCAACAAGGCAGCCTGCTTACTGCTACACGAAGCCCATTACCATGCAATAGTTTGCTTGTGTGTGGAAGGCACTGTTCTTGGGACTGATTCTTGTATCAGTTACTTATCCTTACCATAACCCTTCAGAAAATTAATACAGCCTGCATTTCAAGGAAGAAACAAGCAAAGCACGAAGACTTGACTTTGGTGCTTCAGGATCTACAGAATGTGTCAGAAATAGGTGAAGGCCTGGGCAGTCTGAGTTTAGAGGTCCTGTGCACAAGCACTGTGCTAATTCCAGCACAGAGCACAGCTACTTGGAAGAAGGTTCTGTAGTATAGATGAAGCCTAGAGAGTGACAGTAAATGTCCAGATGACAAGGAAGAATAAACTGCTGGCTGGGTGTGGTGGTGCATGCCTGTAATTCCAGCACTCAGGAGGCAGAGGCAGGCAGGTCTATGTGAGTTCAAGCTGGGAGTTCCAGGACAGCCAGGGCTATAGAGAGAAACTGTGGCGAAAACAAAACAGAATAAAACAAAACAGAAGAACTGCTCCATATCAACCTCTAATATATTTTCTAAAGACTCTACATCACAGTGCCAGAATACTGGTGACTGGTTTAAATTCCCAGTTTCCCATTTTAACATCTAAACTTCACTTTGCACAAAAGTCATCTATACAAGAATAAAAACAGCACAACTATGAAAGCACGTCAAACAATGAATAGACACTGAGAGTTGTATCAGTGAGAAGTCTGGCTTTTAAAAGTTACTTAGGAAAACAAGAGAAACATTTTTAAACAGCTAAGCCTTATTAGCGAAAATTTTTAGTGAGGTACTGTTTCCATGGTGATGACACAGCTCATTCTAATACAAAGTAACTTGTTAGGAAAGTGCTGTTCTAAAAATAGGAGAGCACAGATTATTACTGTGTATTGACAAGAATATTCAATACAAAATGATCAAGGAATGAAAGATGCCAAGAGTTCTGAGAAATAACATAATGGCAGAAAGAACATTCCCACTGTTTACATAATAGCAAAGCAAATAAAAAAGGTTAATTTTGATCTCAAAAACTGGGAAACTAGAACAATTTGTGCTCTACTCAATCATGGAAAAGAAACAACATTTGGACACCAATAAAAACAACACAAGTGGTTTAACACAATAGAAGTTAAGCTGTTTCCACCGACAAAGCTGAAAGACTGGACAAAGATGCCTCAAATTACCAGATATAAATAAACCACAGGGAAGTGCTAAAGAAGCCTTCAGCAATCTTGTTCTTTCACAAGATAAGGCTAAACCTACCTGTTCAGCCAAACACAGCTAATGTGAACAAGATCACTTAGGATGGATTACCTCTACTATTCAGAGCCAAGATGGATACTCATACAATACAACTAAATTTTATTTTGGCAAGAATGTCAACCTTTTTAACTTCAAATGCTTTAATAGTAATCATTGAACAACTGCTATATTGAATAGATGTACTTTGGAGTCAAAAGTGGAACGTCAACAACCAAAGTTTTCATACTAAGGACACTAACTGACCCTTAACTCACCCAATTTTAAACAATGATAGAGGAATATAGTTCAGGAAGTGAAAACACACTTCTGGGTAATGACAGAAATGAACACAACACAGGGATGCGAGGTATCACCCAAGAGCTCTTGCAACTCCCAAGGCTCTGCCTCCCATCCTGCCCACTCAGAAGAAATGTAGTGCCCTGTCTCGCCACACATAAACTTGAAAACTCCACTCTTCTGGAGCACAGCTCATCTGAGAAGTTGAGCAGCTTGGGTCTGGAGTACCATCAGTGGGAAATGAGAAAGTGGGATGATTTGATCCAGAGCTCTCTTCTTCTGCAAATCATAATCATTTCCTTCAGACAAGATTTATTAGTTAAAGAAAGACTGAGTTTTGCCATTTTTTCCAAAGGCAGTGAAAAAGAAAAGAGATGACCTCCATATAAAATCAACAGGTGAACATATCAGGTTTTAAATCTAACGGCAACATCTACAATAGCTTCCACTGATTTTTTTGAAAAATTAAAGCATTATCTGGAAAAACAAACTCTTCAAAGGTCTTCCCTAAAACTATCTCCAATAAGGAAAGTTTTAGACACCAAGTCCTAACAGAAGACAGTGTCCGGCGGCAGCTGCGGGTCAACACGTGGCCTGGGGAGCTGAGGCCTCTAACAACAACTCTCGGTCGTGCACAACTGCTAAGCAACCTCTATCTCAGAAAGCATGGGACCCACAGTGCTTTGTAAGAGCCCCAGCAATACAATACACAGGACAGATGTGAGACAAATGTGTGAAACTGTACAATCAGCCAAACGCAGAAAAGTAGGCCAGTCTTCAGAAAACTATGACCAAGCCCTTCACAGCCGTCTGGCTCCACCTGGGAGCACTGGGGCTACAAACACGTGCAACCACGCCTGGCTTTTGTGTGGGTGCTGGGTATCCAAATTCAGGTCCTCGGGCTTGTGGGCTTGTGCAGCCGGTGCTCTCCCACTGAGACGTCCACCGCCCCGGTGCACACGGTGCAGTTACGCATAACCAAGGGAAGCTGAGTGGTGTCCACAGGGAACCAGGAGAGGATCCACCCCTTGAATTTGTTTTGTCTCTGTGGCACTAGGAAGTGAACCCAAGGTCTCACTCACTCTAGGAAGCACATTCTACCGCTGACCCACAACCCTGTATCTTGATTCTGTTTTTGTCTGAAATGTGCCTTAAACTGAAGTGTAATCCACAAATGCTTTCCTTGCCATAGTAATAGAAACTATGGGCTGAGATGGTGTCATCATCCTGAATCTCTGTGTAAGTGTGAACTGAGCTCCCCGGCCAAACAGATGAGGCAAGGAGCACAAATACCCAGGATTTAAACCACTGGGATCTGAATGTTGATTACACTGGTAAGCACAATCTGTTTTACTCTGGCTCAGAATACAAGGTGCCCTTGTTGACAATGTCTCTGGAGAGCTTGCTCACTCTTACTGGGAGTTCCTTACAACCCTAGGATCTGTGAGTCATGGAGATGCTTGCTGGCAAGATGAAAATATCTGATAATTTTAATTAATTAGATTTGATTAAGAACTGCCCAGTACTAGTGTCATTAGTGGCAGTTAAATACCTAGAATGCAGTTAGTCTGAACTGAAATGTAACCTAATTATAAAAACACTCTGAATTTATACAATTTCATATATAAAGAGAAAATATAAAATACGAATGTTATAAACTGTATATTGAAAGATAAAATTTGCACTGTTAGATCATATAAAACATATTATTAAAATAAATGTCATTTATTTATCATATATTTATTATCTAATATTTTATTATTAATTCATTACCTGTTTCTTTTTATCTTTTTAGCGTGACTACTGGAAAAGTCCAAATTTACATTAGCAGCTGATAACATATTGCTTCTAAAGTACTGCTTTAAAACTACCAAACTTTGGTCAATGATGGTAAATGGGAAGACAAAACAGCCGTAGAAAACAACAACCAAAGGCTATAATGAGATGAGCATGATGGCTCATTCCTGTAATCCCAGCTCTTTAGGAGACTGAGGCAAAAGGACTGCCATGAGTTCAATGCCAGCCAGGGCTATACAGGAAGACCATGTCTCAAAACAGGGATAGAAAACCTTCACTAAGCAATTAGGATATAAAGGGAAAAAAGTTAATTAGTACCATTATGTAAAAGGACACACAAGAAAGCTGTCTCAATGTTACCAAGATCTACTATATAAATAATTATCAATGGTTTAGATTTTTTTTAGGCAAACAAATGATATAAACACCAAACTTCAACTTTGTTTTCTAACTAGAAGTTTTACTCCATCTTGTGGAGACAAAGGGTATTAATTATGAAGACTTCAGAAACCTGAAAATCCCAAAGCAAGTAGCTTAAAAAAACAAAACAAACAAAAAAAAAATCAAAACAAAACAAAACAAAAATCAATAAATAAGGGTCCGTAAAGACGTCACTGGGTTCTGTTGGGTCTGCCTTGTCTTTCTGAGTTCTGACTCCCCCCCGCCCCTTTTCTGTCTCCCTTCGGATGCTAGCAGGAGCCCAAGGATACTTTTGCTGTCAAATGAGCTCCCCACCATGTGGCTGGTGTTAGGGCAGCTTAACTCTCATGGCATGGCTTTCTTCCTCTCCTTTTCTCCATTCTTCTCTGGGCATTCTCAAAATGTATAGCTCACATTCCCCAGAGGTTTTCCTTTTAAACTAATAAAACTATCCTTGAGCTTAAAAAAAGAATCAACAAACAGTGGCACAGTTATAAGCTGTGGCAATGGGGGAGGGCAGCTGTGTGTTGAGTTCCCCATTGACCTAGGCTATAATGTGAGAATTTGTCTCAAAAAACTAAACAACACATAAAAATTTAAAGAGCTGCAATTAAAATCAGCAAAAATAAGTCACCAAATCTTACGTGTTTTATTATAACCAATCTCTACAAGACTGCACACTTTCTCATATGAAGACAATTTAAGGAAAAATAACCTGGCCACCCATGCACTCCTCTGTGGCTGCCTGTAAGAGCTAGGATTATGAGTGGGAGCCCCCATGTGTGCTTTTACTAATTCAGTAGTGACCACAGAGTGTGTTGTAGGTGACAGGGTGGAAAATAAGGAGTCTAACGAGCATACAGCCTTACTCTTGACTTCATCCCTAGGGCCCAGATTAGCCTTGTTCAGTTACATGCTCCTGTCTTTCTGATGAAATTATGTGCATTTATTTCTTACTTCTCATACTTACAGGGTTTTGCATTTCAATTTCCTACATCTAAGAGAGCCAAGAATGGAAGGAGCCCAAGAATGTTCCAAATTTAACAGCTGGAAAGAATCCCAGCCTGACAATGGTGGGACATGCCTTTAAGCAGAGGCAGGCAGATCTCTGAGTTCAAGGACAGTCAGGACTACACAGTAAAACCCTGTCTTGAAAAACAAAGAAACAAATAAACAAACAAAAACCCCAAAACAACAAAAACAAAAAACGCAAAAAAAAAAGGAAGGAAGACTCCCAAGATATCTCAGTGCTTTAGACAGCTTCAACACCACCACAAACAGGAGAGGAGAGATGATCCCTAAATGGCATGCTTTTACTGAGATGCTAACAGCCTAGTCACTCACCACAGTTTGGGAGCTACTGATAAAGTATGACTAGCGACCACGATGCTCAATGTGCCCACTTTGTACGTCTCTTTACCCCTTGCTCGCTCAGATTTCATCTCCCATTTGTACCCATGCCTGGAAATTCTGCTGTTACAGTCTCTGAAACTCAACATCAAGAAAAACTATTGAATATCTCTGCACACAAATGTGGTTTTTGTTCTCTAATTGCACTCCAAACGGCTACTTCCTTCAGCAGGAGATAATTTTCTTTTACCCTCACACAGCTCTGTCCTGAATTGTCCTGTCTTCTTTGCTATCTCCAAAATGGCTTACTTGGCCTCCTCCCTAAACCCACTCCAGTCTTGAAATGCACTTCACTGGTTAGTAACAGTGGCTCTCAATCAGAGGCAAATATTACTCCTTCCCACCTCTTTTCCCCAGGATACACCTGGTATGATGGGAAAAAACTCTGAGGATTCAAGGCCAGGGATGATGTTAAATATCTTCAAACGCCCAAGAGGCCCCACAACAAAGAGTGGTCCAAATGCTAGTGTCAAGGTCAATATTACTATTTGCTCTGCTGGATAGTCTTATCTCCTACACCATTAAATATTTTCTTAATCACTCCCATTGGTTCACAAAGGTGTGGTAGTTTTTCTTATTTTCTGGATTTCACATATCCTTCTAGCAATCCCTCCCCTTTCCCAACTCTCTAATAAGGAAAAATAAAATTGAAACTAAACTTCTTCTCTTTGCAATCTGTCTTAAACTCATTTCAATCTATTTTGGTCCTAAACTTGTCTCTTCCCCCATTCATTCTCACTTGTCTTTCTTCCTTCTTCCTTAGTTTTTTTGAGACTGCATCTCATGTATCCAAAGCCTTCCTAGAACTTACTGTGTAGCTGAGGATGACCTTGAACTCCTAATTCTCTCACCTCCAACAAAACAGCTGCTGTGACAGTTTAAATGGCTTTTATTCAAATTGGTGTGTGACTTAAGTCAATGATCTATATTTTATTGCTTCCTGTGTCCTCCTTAACCTCATTTCCCTCTACCTGACTCCGGTGCTATTTTACTGTGGCTACGAGGATACCCTGTGATTTTCAAACACACCTGAACCTTTCCACCTAAAATGCTCTGTGCCCATTTGGCTGCATGATTTATACTTTACTCCCTTTGGATCATTGTTACCTGACACTGTGTAAGTGAGGTCTATCTGGTTTTAAAATCTCAGTCCTATTCATCAGCACTTATTCTAGAGTACTTTCTACCTTCATAATGTTTCCTATTTCCTTTGTTTATTGCCTGTCTCTTTTTCCTGAATGCAGTTTCAAGAAGACAGGAATACTTGTGTCTATTTTTGCTAAAGCCTGAGTCCAAAATATCTGTCCATTCATTCAACCTCGAACTTGGCCTCAAGATACACTTTCACGTCTTATTTCTGAGACTGTCTTTGGTTCCTTTTGCCTTCTGTATTGCGAGGAAGCTAACAAGTGTTTCCTCTACATTCTTCCCAGAGTCGTTGGCATAGGACTTGATGTATGTAGAATTGACAGTTTCTACCAATAATCCTAAATGTGATTTATTTAATTAAATGCTTTAGAATATCTTGTTTTTAAAGCAATAAGACTGTTAAAAGTCGGTCAACTAAAATGCTTGTTTTAGAGCCAATGATATGGATTCTCATTATTTGAACTCTCTTTCAGACAGGCTTTCACCTGTGGTGCAGGCTGTCTTTGAACTACATAGCTGAGGCAGGCCTTGAACCTTAAGATTATCCTCCTGCCAGTTTCCAGAGGATTGGGACTATAAAAACGAGCCACTATACTTGGAAAATGCTCTTGCCTCACAGTTTTTCTGACTATAAAATGGGGACTCCAGTGATTTTACTAGGGTTTTGATAGAATTTACTTAGGCATGTTTCCTTTCCACTGCCTTTGAAGGTTGGGGTTTTATTTCTGTATATTATACAATAAACATTTAGCTGATGAGTATGAATATAGACAAATACAAATTTTTAAGAATGCAGTTAAAATTACTTCAGAAAACATCATCTAACATGAAAATACTGCCTTCTTTATACCATTAGATGAAGTTTAGCTGAATCCCAGAGAAAAGGGAGAAATTAGTTTTGTTCTGAGAGAAATTATAATTTTAATTTTTACTTACTTAGCATGAAAAAATTGCTGTTCTTATTTTCCTTCATTGCTTCCTTCCTGTGATGGGAAGGATGTCAACAATGCCACTAATTGACCTCTATTTAAAGACCATAAATTTAGAACTACAAACTTCTCCAGCATCCATAGCACTATTTTTTTAATTAATATTTTTCAATATCATCCCTCTTTATGTCTATAGCCACTATGTTAGTTTAAAATTAAGGAAACTACTGAACTTTTCACATTGCAGTAAGAAATGTGAAACTCCTTCTCTTACCAGCACATCATGTACCAGAGCTTGGTATGTCCACGTGTGGTGTAAAGGCGTTGCCAAATCGATGTTTCTGTCGACAAGGACTAATAAGGGCCTTTGGAAGCTGAAAATGTATGTCAGAATGTTATATAAACTTGACAGCAATGTATACATTTAAAACTTTCTAGTACTTTGCAGTGTGTCATTTTAATATAAACAGCTACAATTAAAACTGTGTAACACTAAACATTTCCACTACAGTCAATTATGATCATTAACCAATGCTTAATGTGAGATGTTAAGTCTTAAAAGGATTTTTTACAGAAAGAGATTTATACAAATATGTACAGAATAATTTCTATAGTCAAAGAAAATGCCCACTGAGTAGTTATTGCTATGGCAAGCATCATTTTTCATATTACGATGAATAGAGGATTTGAGGCCCTCCCTACATATCTACTTTCTTGAATTTGTTTTTATATTTGTAGAAAAAAACATGTAATTTTTAGAATATGAAACTACCAAACATTTGGATAAATTTGTATGAGTTTACTGTTTTCACTGAATCAGACAATACCTATTCCCTTTCTGTTTTTTCAAAAAAAATCTGCACTTTATATCAGAGATGTATTTCTTTATGTCAATAATGTTTACTGTTCTTAAAATTCAAAATTTAGGCTGGGCGGTAGCAGTACACGCCTTTAATCCTAGCACCTGAAAGGCAGAGGTAGGCAGATCTCTGAGTTTGAGGCCAGCTTGGTCTACAGAACCAGTTCCAAGATAACCAGGGTTACACAAAGAAATCCTGTCTCAAAAAAATAAAAACTAACAAACAAAAAAATCAAAATGTACTCTATTATACATAGTGTTTCAGTACTCCTACCCAATAGAAATTGAGCAGTCAGTACCTTTGGTATTACTTGCTTATCCAAATGACAGAGTTTGCAAGATATTAGTATCTTAAATGTGAAAATGAAAACAATAGAAATTTTCACTTATCTTATTATCAAGATTACTGCTAGCTGTAAGAAAATTGCTTTGAACCTTGAAAGCCATGTAATCAGAAAGCATTCTAGAGATAGAAACATACAGAGATATTTCTACCAAAACAAAATAATTTCTATATGGAAGCTATTTATGCTTCAATTTAAGTCAAAACCTTGACTCTGAAGCCAGACCAAAAAGTAAGAAATAGTTCCCTTACGACAAAAGTATTTTTATTACATAAGAAAAACATAAAAACTCTTCTTTTCTTTAGAGTACATTAACAGACATGCCTACCTGAACTGGCCAGTTCCAAGTGGATCACCTGTAAAAAGGCTGTTTCTTGCATCTCTTAGATTCTCCCGAAGTTTCTTATCAAGTTTCTGAAAATAAAATTTTAGATGAACTATGAGTACTTTCTTATAACGTTATGTAGGGAACGCAATATGTTTTAGTTACATAATCAAGAAACTTGGATTTTCTTTACAAAGTGGGAATTCCAAAACCTAGTGTTTTAATTATTTCAATACCATCATAGTTTGTACTTAAGAAAATAAATTTTTAAATAAATGTGCTTCATCCTGTTATCACTGGACTGAAGATAAGCATTCTACAATACGACCGACCCTCTTAAACATGATGAAGTAAAGAAAGGCTGATCTGGATGGGGGTAAGAAAGCAAGACATGTACAGTCCGGAAAGCCCAGATTACAGATGGGAGTATGCGAGAAGGTCAGCTTCCACCAGGGGCTTCTTTGGGCAAATGAGCCCACAAGTATCCGTCTTTCTGTGCCATCCACATGTGTGTGCCGCGTACGCACACGCACGCACGCACGCACGCACACACATGCACACACACACACACTCACACAAAGAGCAATTATTTGGTTTCCCTGATCCCCCTTTTAATCTTTAAAGGAAATTCTCTTTAATTCAACTTCAATACTAAAAATGTGTTTGTTGTTAATGAGTACTTGCCAAAAAAGTTGAATACAGCCTATTTTAGGGGGAAGTTAAGTGTAAAACATGTAAAAGCGCAAGTCACAAAGTGCAGTGAGGACTAGGACAAGCACACAGAATCAGCAATTTTACTCTAGTGCAGAGATATGCATAGAGACAGCCTTTCATTTTGGGGTAATTACCCCAAGGAAAGCCAGTATCTGCATACAGCACTAGAAGGCAGATTCCTTGACAGAGGCAAATGATGCACTTGTGAGAGAGCCATTCGCACATCAGAGGCAAAAACTCACCACGGCCACCATTTCTGCTGCTGTTCCTCTCGAGCATCGGATGATGGGAACAGCACCTATTTTAATGATAAATGTCAGCAATGAGCTTGCCTCTTAACTAAAATGTATACTTTAAATTAGCAGATGTCAAGATGCATCCAATTTCAGGTTAGACACAAAAACTTAAAAATCTGAAGAGTGAAAACAAGGTTTCATAAATTCACATTTCCATAAGAAGTAAAAAGAGCCAGAAGAGGGGCATTTTTATATGACGCTGATCAATGTGACTAATATTTTCAGTGGATGGACTAAATTAGCATTTGAACCTCCTTAAAAGCTTTAAAGGATGACTGTATCCCCTAGTAACAGAACTTAATTTAAATTGGTTCAAAATAAAAGAAAAAGAGCTTAGAGACTACAACAGTTTGGGACTACTTTAAAAAATAATTTAACAGTAAATGACTGTTATCCTTTTGTAGTACCAAGTTAAATGATACAGCAAACATATTCTTCACTAATATGAAGTACCCTTCCCACCATCACATCAACTCGCTGAACCTGGTATCTTTCTTTATGAAGCAGTAAATGACTAATCAAAGGCTACAAGCTCAAACAGAAAAACTTTAAGCATGTTAACAAATAAGGCTGCTTTCTGTGATCTTCCTGTGCTCTAATTACCTACATTATGCACACTTTCATAAAAGTTTCAAATACTTGAAATGTGTAAATTCTGGGTGTGGTGGCTCACACCTGTAATCTCAGCCCTCGGAAAGTTGAGGTAAGAAATTCAAGAATTCAAGACCAGCTAGCCTGGATTACAAGACATCCTGTGCCTCAAAAGAATCACCCCCAACCAAAAATAGCAAAAGGGAAAATACAGAGATTTAGATCTCCACTTGGGCAAGAAGGCTGCAGCACCACTAGAAGGCACGGCGAGACGAGGGAGACTCAAGATGAGCTCAGGTGACACAGGAAGACCCTGGCTCTGAAAACAAACAAGCAAACAGCGGCGGCAACAAACTGATGACATCCGTCAACGGTTCCCTACCTACTGTGTGTGTGTGTGTGTGTGTGTGTGTGTGTGTGTGTGTGTGAAGCAAAAATCGGACATTAGTGAGCCTGTCCTGAAAAGTATTTTCTGTTCATCTTTGTTCCAATCTACTGTCTACTGGTAGTAACAAGAACAAGCCTCAGGCAGGCCACGACCACATCCACAGGCAGAAGGCTAGAGAGTACAGAGGATGGCAGACAGAAAGGCAGATGTGACATGCCTGTTTATGACACAGCTTATACACCTGCAGCTTTCTTACGAGTTAGGACAGTGGAGATGCAGCTCTGCAGGTCCACTGCTTACCTAGCACAGGCCAGGGCTGGACACTGCAAAACTACTCGTCAACCAACCAACACCTGAATTTACTGTAGGGTAGTGAGAACACACGAAAAACTAGATAGAGGGGAAAAAATGGGGATATATGGCCATAGAGAAATAAATAATAAACAGAAAATAATGGGACTTACCGGGTCAAAAACCAAAGACCTGTGTTTCAACCTAAGATATCAACTGGGGGAAGGGATCTCTGAAAGGGAGGAACTCAAATATTTGCACAAATTCTTCTCATACATCTGTCTAAGCCCTATATACACTTCAAATGGTTTCTCTTCTTTTATTTCCACTTGTGAAAGAGAGTTTGTAAATGTATGAGGGGTCATTTAAATAGGTTTTAGGTATGTATAAAATCAAAATTGCAATTAATTTTCTGCAAAGATATATTAGTAAAGTATAAAATCTTATATTAGACAGTAAATACAATGTAGCCAAAGTAAATGTAGATGATTCAGGGACTCGTTAAACTTTAAGACACAATGCATTTTACACCACTTTACATTAAGTTCTGTGTTCTCTGGAAACTTTTGCATTTGCCTTAAAATCTATTATGCACAGACCTTTAAACAGAAGTGTGATTAAAGGCTTTTATGATGGACGCTAAAGACAACTATAAAATAGTCAATAGTAGGTGAGAACCATCAACAAACCACTTAGCCAGTACAATAAGAGGCAATTACCAATGAGATCTAAGGGGTTAACTGAAAGGGTCCACTGATTTGGGTAGTGATGTTTGTCTGTAATCTCAGGACTTGGGAGGCTAGTGAAGGCTACTTAGGAAGACCAGTCTGCGCTTATGAGAACTCAGCTCAAGGGCAAAACAAATCTGAATGCTAACTCACAGGGAATAGCCCTATGCTGTTATTAGAAGCACTTTATTTTATATTATAGAATGCACGCTTTATCTCAACTTTGGAGAAGCTCTCTACATTCAAACACATTACAACAATATTATAGACATATGTAGTGGTAGACACCTTTAATCTTAGCACTTAGGAGGCAGAAGTAGGCTAATCTCTACGGGTTCAAGGCCAGCCTGGTCTACACAGTGAGTTTCAGGACAGTCAGAATTACATAGTGAGACTCTGCCTTTAAAAAAAAAAAAGAAAATTACATATGTGGTATCTCAAAATGAGTTAGGTAATTAGTTGAAGGAACAGACAGATTTAAACTTACCTAATGTAACAAAAAAGCAGAAGAGGCTATCAACAATAGTGTCCATAACAGTTTCCATTTCTGTGTCTGTGATATCTGGCCTATTAATGGCTGAAATAAAGAGGAAAAACCAAGCACTCAAAATTTACATCTTTATGAAACTTCTTGAACATATATAACAATATATAGATACCAACCTGAATTATAAAACAAACATATAACGTGATCAACATAGGAGGAAAGCAGAAACTTACTGGACATATCAAAGTACCTAAGGAAAGTGTATCTAAGCTGAAAGATAGAAATACTAATTTCACCAGGCAGTACAAAATCCAAGGAAACATGCAGCCAGTAAGATGTGCTGACTGTCAGCTAGCCAGAGCGACAGCATGGAAAATACTTTGATGAACATTAGCTCTGGTTCTGTCAATCATCTGGCATGAGTAAAATCTCTCAGAATTCCTTGGGTCTCAACTCCAGCTCCACGTCTATCAACAGGAAACAGCCATAGCAACTGCAAACTGTCCATCAGGAATGCCAACCCGACTGGTAACATCAAGCTTCCTTCTGTCAAATGACCGCCATTTGACCGACAAGACATGTGCTTACTTTATTGGGTAAATATGTCATCAATACATTCAAATATAGAAGTAAAAAGACGAGAATGAAAATTCTACGCGAAGTGTCACTCACTGTATTTGAATGTTTAAGAAACTTCATATTTATTGTTATTTTTAATTACTTAACATTTAGCAGTTTTGTTTAATAGGCTTATAAATTGCCTCGACTGGCTGCATTGCTTTTAAAAGAAACATGATGTAGCAAATGTATAAATGCAATGGTAAGCGCTTGATGGGACATAACAGCAAAGTTTTCTAACTCAGATGTACTGACAAGAAACTCGTCTGCTCAACTTAACTGGCCAAGAAAAAAATTAAAATACTTGTTTTAATTTTTATCAGATTTACAAATAAAATATCTGAGTTTAATTTAAAGGCTTCTGGGTAGCTAGGTTTCAAACACAAGGATAGGTAGTAATTAGTCTGAAAATCAACAAACTGCAAATAGACTTCTGTGAATAACAACTGCCAACAAAAATCTCACACATAAGCCCAGGGATGCTGGAGTAGATATCAGTAAGCTTTTGAAAGGCTGAGACAGGAGGAGCCCAAGGTCTGAGGTCATCTTCGGCTACCCTTGTCTCCAAAACAAAATACATATACTCTTTTAGATGTTTTCATTAATTTCAATAAGAAAATATATTAGAGATCTCAATGAAGCAAAAAGAATGTCATCTTTTCTCACAAGCTCACAACCTGGACCAGAAAAGTACAGACAAGTAAAGTATGTTACTTTTGACCGAAGTACTAGATAATTAACTTTGTCCTGCGTGGAAATACTGTCTTACTTAGCATGAGTGCATCATGTGTGCACGCTGCTCTGGGGATCGCCAGCAGACCAGAGAACTGGTACTTAACTGAATTACAAAATAAATTTACTATGCCTACTGAAAGTATACATATTTAATCTGTGCCTTGCCTTGTTGTAAACAAATCTGGAGTCACTGTTTTCTCCCACTACACCATTCATTTTGTCAAATATTACAATGACTAGTAAACTTTGTGTTTTTACATACCACGATATGAAACAAGCTCCTTATTTTGATTACATAATACAAACATGTCATCTTCCAATGTAATAAAATTGAGATACTGGTCAAAAACCTAGAAACATACAAACAAAATAGTCTTATGAATGAATTTTACAATATAGCGATAGTAAAAATTTAGTTTGGCTGAATCACCAAATCACATAAAAAGGAAAAATTATAATTTGATTAAATTAAATACAAAAAAATTAAAAATCATACCAAGTAGCATGATGCCTACCTACATAAATCATAAAGAGTTAAAATGGGAGCCAGAGAAACAGCTCAATGGCTAAGAGTGCTTGTTTGCTGATCCAGAGATCCTGGGTTCAGGTTCAGACACCCACGTCACGTAGCTTACAAGTCTATGACTTCTGCCCTTTTCTGGCCTCCAGTTACACCCACACATGTGGCATACACACAGACATATAAATAAAAATATGCATTTTTAAAAAGGGGGTTAAAAATAATAAAAACAAAACAAAAATATTTTTAAATTAATGAAAACAAATTTGGGGCAATAAGAAGAGAGACATTTTCAGACACCAAAATTTATGTTTAAAAAGTAAAATTGTGGTTGTGATGGTAATGGATATCACTTTGAAGGAAAACTACAAGCTACAGTTCTCTACTCTGTAACCGCGTGTTAACAACTACACAATAGCTATTTCTACAGCATAATGTTTATGTTACTAGAGTTCTTCACAAGCACAAACTTTAAAAACCTGTCAGGGGCTGGTCAGAAGGCTGAGCTGCTGAGAGGCCAGGCTGTTTTCCCAGACGACCAATTGATTTTCCAGCACCCAAACCAGGTGGCTCACAGTGGCCTCTAACTCCAGCTCCAGGACATCTGACACCCTCTTCTGACCCCCACATGTGTACAAATACACACACAAGTAAAAATTTTAAAGTATTCTAAAAAAAAACTATCTGAAAATTGAAAACAATTCCTTTGACTTTGTGTGAAATTAATGAGAATTTCTAAGCAAAAACACAGAGGAAGAAGCCTTAAAAGTTACTCACAGTAGCAATCGGCCATAACTGAGTCTAAGACGTAGTGAGGGGATATGCAAACGCATGCTTCATCTTTCCTGTCTCTATTCCCTACAGCCTTCATTGGTGTCCTCTCAAAACTCAAGGGCGCACACAACAGCAGGGGGAAGCCAGGGATTTATATGAGAGTGTGCCTGGAACAGAATTGTCAGCTGACTAAGATGTCACTAGAATGCTGGCCTGCTGTACATTTTTATCCTTATAGGCTACTCTGTGTTCTCTTTAGACCTGCTTTCCTAAATAAGAAAAGATTTGGAGAGGACATGGTGATTGACTGTGGTGATTATGGATAAAACAACATCAACGTGAGCACATGCAATATACAACAAAACTGTCAAATTATTTCTAAAATGAACTACAAGGATCCCATAAATCTCAGCCTGAAACAAATCTAAATCTACTTTTCATTTTTGTCTCACAAGTCAGTTCTGGAGTAGTAAATTCTCCTAGCCTGCTATATTTTTCCTAGTGTAAGTTAAACACAATGTAAACAAACTCATCTTCCTAGGCTGTTTTGGTCAGATGTGAACAACCTGGAATTTGAGACACTGTTGAGTTTTACATTAGCAAAGCTCTCAGTCAGACACCTCTTACCTTGGCAACTTGTGTTACTGCACTAGCTGCCAATGCTGCATTTGCAATATCTTCCAGTTTACTTCTTGAAATCGCAGAAATAAAATTTAAATAATAGGATTCATAGAGCTGATTTCGAAGATCCTATAAACATAAGCAACATGTCACTCTTACAGTAGAGAAAGGGTGCCTGAATAAAAAATTCTTAGAACCAAAAGTCAGGCTTTGGAGCATATGACACACATTTAAAAGACGTGATAAATAAATAACAAAACAAACAAATGAAAACTCTATAACAACAAAGTAATGACATGCCAGCTACTCGACCACTGAAATATATCTTAATAATAAATGTTGTTAAAGTATATTATCAACAATATAGCTACAATATAGCACAAAACTGATTTAAACTGGCAAAGTGCAGCTGCCCTAACAATACACAAAAGAGCTGGGTGCGGTGGCACACACCTGTAATGTTAGCACTCTGAGAGGCAGAGGTAGGCAGATCTCTGTGAGTTCAAGGCCAGCCTGGTCTACAGAGCAAGTTCCAGGATAGCCAGGGATACACAGAGAAACCCTGTCTCAGGAGAGCAACAGAACCAAAAAATCTGGGCCCAGGGGTCTTTTATGAGACTGATACTCCAACCAAGGACCATTCATGTAGATAATGTAGAACCCCTGCACAGATGTAGCCCATGGCAGCTCAGTCTCCAAGTGGGTTGGTTCCCTAGTAAGGGGAACAGGGGCTGTTTCTGACATGAACCCAGTGGCTGGCTCTTTGATCACCTCCCCCTGAGGGGGGGAGAGCCTTACCAGGCCACAGAGGAACACAGTGTAGACAGTCCTGATGAGACCTGATAGGCTAGGGTCAGAGGGAAGGGGAGGAGAACTTCCTCTATCAGTGGACTTGGGGAGGGGCGTGGGAAGAGATGAGGGAGGGTGGCATTGGGAGGGACTGAAGGAGGGGCCTACAGCTGGGATACAAAGTGAGTAAGCTGTAATTAATATAAAAAATGAAAATTTAATAAAAAACAAAAAAAACCAAACACACAAAAAGAATACACAAAAGTGTGCAGCACTGTGCAATGTCCCATCAGAAGTGTTTGGCCAGCATGGGCAACTGGCAAAACCTGTTTCAAGTTTTGTTTTTTCTTTTAATCCACAAGTAGCTAATACACTAACATAATTACATGCTTATAATTGGCAGATAATAACATGTACTTTTCTGGTCATATGACACAAGAAGTAATTTCTTCATTGCACACAATGTGTTCATTTAAATACTGACTCTAGCAGATGTTTTTCTTCTTATTCAAAAGCAGAATTTAAGAAATTTCATAAATCAGTTTTTAAATTTTTCTTAGACACTAGGTATACATATCTAAGTATTTCCATGTTATTTAAGATGTCATTTTCATACACATATGTATGTATATAAGATTTAATGTAATCAAAATTTTATGATGTGTGATCCATCTTAAGATATATCTAATTCCATAGATGTTCGGCTGTGAGCTGACGTATGTGCAAGGACAAAGCTCAACTGTTCAGTGGTTTAGCTAAGATTAAAAACAATGCTCATAGAGAAGGATGGATAGAGGAACTGTACTATTGGGAACCATGCCTGTCACTGACAGAGAAAGGTGTTCAAATTTATAAAGTAAAAGGGAAAAACTAGGATGACTCCTATATTAAGAAATCAGAATGGTTTTAGAGGTTGTGTGGTAGGTAGCGAGGAGAGATAAAGCATTACTAAAATAAATGCACACATAAAAGTTCAGTGTGTGTATGTAAACATGCGTGATAGCCTTGTTAGAGTTGAGTGTGTCAAATGTTCAGATTATTATCTACAGAAAATAACCGGGTCCTTAAACAAGTATCTGAATGTGGGGCTTTCTCAGGGAGACTGCAAGATGAGACTGGCCTGCATTCCTGTGTTAGAAATTAAGAAATGGTTAAAGAGTTGCCCACATATCCACAAGGACACAGAACACAAGGTAAGTAAAAAGCCAATTTAATTCCTATATATTTGCAACAAACAATCCTAAAAATGGCATTTAGAAACAGTACCATTTGTTAAAAACAAACAAAAGAACATTAAAGGGGAAAAAGCTAAATACTATAAAAATTATTAAAAGAAATTAACAAAGGTCTAGCTATCCCACATTTGCAGATCAGAAATTTTGATGTTGTTAAGCTTGTAATACTCCAAAATTAATTCACAGCAGTGGTTTTCAAACTGTGGGTCAAGACCCCCTTGGGGGTTGCATATAGATATCAAGTATTAACATTACAATTCACAATAGCAGCAAAATTACAGTTATGAAGTAGAAACGGAAATAATTTTATGGTTGGGGTCAATCACAACATGAAGAACTGAACTGCAGGGTCTCAACATTAGGAAGGTTGAGAACCACCCATCTACAGGTTCACCAAAGTCCCTTTTAAAAACCCAAGATTGTTTTTTGTTTTGTTTTGTGTTGTTGTGTTGTTTTGTTTTTTGCAGAAAGTGACAAATAATCCTAAAATTTACTTGAAAATTCAAAGACTCTGAAAAGTCAAATAATCTTGAAAATAAAGTACTAAATTGGAGGTAACAATTTCTCAATTTTAAAATTCATTTCCAAGAAAGAAACCTCAAGTAATATCTCACTGGGATAGAATAGATGCAGTGAAAATGAGAACAGAATCCAGAGTCCAAAGACTCACCAATTTGATATAGACAGGGCAGCTAAAACCATTCACTGAAGAAATAATATCTTCAAGAAAAAACACTGGATGACTGGGTAGACACGTGAAAAAGAGTCAAGCAGACAACAACCTAACACCATGAATAAAAATCAACTCCAAGTAGACCTAAGGTCTAAATATAAGAGCCAGAATCATAAAACTTGTAAAAAAAAAAACCATGGACTTGGGGTGTTTTTTAAATATGACAACAATAGCTCAGCAAATGAATAAAAACAAACTGGATTTTATCAAAATTAATGATCTTATGTTCCATGGCACTGACAAGAGGGTGAAAAGGCCATGTACAGAATGGGTGAAAGTACTTATCATATACTTGTTAAGTGTCCAGCATAAAAAGAACTCTAAGAAGCTGAGCTTGCCTTTAATCCCAGTATCTGGTAGCTAAACAAGAGGATTACAAAGTGTAGACTAGCCAAGGGTCACAACGGGAGCCCCTGTTTGAAAAAAGAAAGAACACTAAAAAGTATGCTAACAACCCAGTGATTAAAAAGGCAATCCAATTTACAAGTGGGTAAGAGTCAGGTAAGTGCTGCATGCGTCCAATGGTGGAGGGAGCAGATCAGGAGCCCAAGGTCATCTTCGGCTACATGGTGAGTTAAATGCCAGACTTGGGCTACCTGAGACCCTGTCTCAACCTTTTTTTTTTTTTTTAAGAAGTGGGCAAAGGAAGAATTTAAGTAGACACTACAATGGGATTACCACTGTATATCCTTTTAGAAACAATCAAAATGTCAGATAAAGTGCTGATCAGTATATAGAGACACCAACGCTTACACAGCTGGTGGGAAAATGAGACGAGGCCATTACTTTGTCAGTTTCTAAAAAGGCTAAACATGGGGTATCATTCCAATACTTTGAATTCTATTCCTTTATAAAGACAAGAAAAATGAAAACGTGTTCAAACAGAAACTTGTACATGAATGTTTACAGAAGAATTATTCATTACAACCAAAATGTATAAATAAAATTTGACATTTTCATGCAACAGAAGATTATTATACCATAAAAAGAAAGTTCTGATACATGTTTCAAACAGATAAACTCTGAAAACATTAAACTAAGAGAAAGAGACCAGATTACATATTACATTCACATGTAATAGCCTGAATGTATAAATGGAACCCTAGAAACAGAAGAAGGAAAGGGTAGGGATTGGAGATGTGGAGAAGCAAAGTTTCTTTCTGAGGTGGTAAGTATGTTCTAAAGCTGACTATGGCTATGAGAGATACGTTGAAGCAGAGCTGGTATTTAAAAAGATTAGTAAACCCCTTTAACTGGCTCTTTAAAGAATAAAGGGGAAGCTGGAAAAATGAAGCTAATATCAACATAAAGTATATGGCCTTTCTTAGAAGTGGAAATAGGGACTTGATGTGGCAGCTGATAAAATGTCACCTGTGGTTGCCACCAATGCTCTCCTAGCCAATACTTCTCCCCTACTTTTCTTACAAAAATAATACCAATTTTCTTTGTGGTGGTAATAATCTACTTATTAGCAGCCAGTCTTTCTTGCAGCTAATTCTACTCAGTGAGACATAAGGGAGTCCTTTGGGAGTTTCTAGGTCAGACTTTCCAGGTCAAACTCAACAGTCAAGATTGGCAGAGTTCATTTACATATTTCTTACCATAAGCATAGATTTGATGTCTATTGTATACTGGTTACCTTACATTCATAACTCAACATAGACGACAATGTAAGTGACTGATGGTTAAATCTTAGTTGTCAATTTGATGAGGTCTAGAATCATCTGGGGGATGGGCCCCTGGCAAATGAGGTAAGAAGCCCCATTCATTCTTTGGGTTAGAATCCTGGACTATAAGAAGAGGAAAAACCTACCGGGCACATTTACTCCTCTTATATCTTGAAAGCAGTTACAGTGACAGGCTGCCTCAAGCACCTGTTGCTGTGGCTTCCCCACAGAAACTAGAACTTCGAACTATGCGCCAAAACAAAGCCTTCCTTAAGCTGCTGTAGTCAGAGTATTTTACTGTAGCAAGCAGAGAAGAATTAACTGCGACATAAAGAAACTAAGCTTTTGGAGCAGTGAGACAGGGCTGTGCAACTGCACACTTCCTATTCTTAGGCCATAAGGAAAGCAGAACTCTGTGTTTAAAACTAAACAGGCCCTCTATTTGCAAAGTGGTTACTGTTGTTTGTTCTGAGATATGGTCTCACTATGCAGCACGGATGGGCCTCAAAACTGTCATGTAGCCAAGGTCTTCAACCAGGAACCCTCTTGCATTGACCTTGCACACTGGGATCACAGGCAGGCTCCAGTGGGCTCTTCAGTAAGGACAGACGTGCCATTTACTGATACAATACTTCTCCGGCCAAAAAGCATAAACCTACTCTATTAAAATTACAACGCTGGTAAAGGAATTTATGATTCTCCATAATGAGCATCTCATGTTTTTGTTGGTGGTGGTGCTTTTTTTTTTTTTTTAAAAAAGAAAAATGTCTGTCTTGATAGTCAAACAATCAGGTAATTTTAAATTTCACATAAAGTAAGAACCCACTTATCACCTGGCATAGTCTGTCAATATTTTCTTCGGTTGGCATCACGAAGTACACTGCAGGAACATCTGGAATTGGATCTCGGTCAGAGTGCAAAAGGCTGGAAGACAGAAAGAACAACAATAAATCACTCTTCCCCCTCAGATACTTTAAAAAGCTATTAGTCACTTATTTAACCTGGTCTTTTCCTTAGAAAAAGAAAGAAAATTTCACAGCGTTAATATCAGAATTATCCATTTGTAGAACTGTTTCTTTGTATTTTCATTTTTCTCCATTTTACACATATCTGGTATTTCTTATGGCCAGATATTCTCTTTTACAACCATTCTCCTTGAAGAGCAACTAAATGCATTAACAACAACAACAACGTTACTCTCACAGAAATACAAGGGAGAACGGGTGAGGGAAACAGTGGAGCAGGGCTGGCACTGCTGAAAGAGAAGCCGCAACGAAGCACACACGGGCTCGGGAACATGTCAAAATGAAAAGCAAACAGCTGCTCAACCATGTTCATAGCAGCTCTATTTGTAATAGCCAGAAGCTGGAAACAACCCAGATGTCCCTCAATGGAGGAATGGATACAGAAATTGTGGTACATCTACACAATGGAATACTACTCAGCAATTAAACAAGGAAATTATGAAATTTGCAGCAAATGGTGGGAACCAGAAAGGATCACCCTGAGTGAGGTATCCCAGAACCAGAAAGACACATACTGTAAGTGTGGATATTAGACATATAACATAGGATACTAAACATACTAAAATCTAGACTCCTGAAGAAGCTAAACAACAAAGAAGACCCTAGGGAAGATGCCCAATCCTCATTCAGAAAGACAAATGCGATAGACATTGGAAGCAGGAGAAGACAGGAAACAGGGCAGGAGCCTTCCACAGAGGACCTCTGAAAGACTACTGATCAAGGTATCGAAGCAGAGGCTGAGACTTAAGCCAAACTTTGGGCAGAGTACAGGCAATCTTTTGAAAGGGGGAGATATAAAGGAGACCAACAGAGCCAAAACAAAAACAAAACCTGAGCTCTTGGGGGGCCCTGCAGAGACTGATACTCCAATCAAGAACCGTGCATGGAGAGGATCTAAAACCCCTGCTCAGATGTAGTCCACAGACTCAGTCTCCAAGTATGTTCCCTAGTTAGGGGAGCAGGGACTTTCTCTGGTATGAACTCAGTGGCAGGCTCTCTGATCACCACCCCCAGGTGTTGGGGTGCAGCCTTGCCAGGCCACAGAGGAAGACAATGTAACCAGTCCTGATAAACTAGGGTCAAACAGAAGGGGAGGAGGACCTCCCCTATCAGTGGATTAGGGAAGGGACATAGGGAGAAGAGGGAGGAAGGGTGGGATTGGGAGGAGAAGAGGGAGGGAGACACAACAGCATACAAATCGAATAAATTGTAATAAATGATAATAATAAAGCAAATTTTAAAGTAAAATAAGAGAGATCCTCACAGCCTAGTACCTAATCCTATATGGTGCTTTCTATCTTCTGCGTGATGCTGTGGATGGGATCCAGGAACTTGCCCATGCTCAGCACACATTTTTACAGCTGAGCTATATCCCCAATCCCATTTTGATCAATCTGCTGCTTCCTAAATGAATGCACAGGAGATCATCGAAGAATCTCAAAGATGACATGCTGAAGCTTTGTCTTGGTGATTCTGGAAGTATTTTCATTTAACCATCTCAATTTCACATAAAATATCTGGCACTGTCATATACTTGTATAATGCATATGATAGGAAATATGGTAGCATTCTAGGTGCAGAACTCTTGAGTCATCTCTATAATCCACAAGAATGAAAGGGGCTCATGCTGCCAGTGGAGATGCATGTAGAAACCTCCCATATATCCATATATCCAGATGTCACTCCCAGCAACGAGGACTATATGGTGGCAGCCACAGGCTACTTTGTGTGTTGTTTGCCCAACTGCCTACATGGTATTACCACAATTCTAGAAATGTGTGGTTATTATCGCCTTCAAATTGGTCTAAACTAGCTTGCAGTGCATAAAATAACTGATAAGGTCTATCCAGGCAGAGGTCAGGCCTGTCAGGGATTGTCCATGCTCTGGTGACAATAGTGCTGTGCTTCCTCTACTCTCAAACCAGCAGTCTGGCCTGTTACCCTTACATCAATGCGGAGTTAGACCTCAATTCTACTTGTCACTGCTACTAAGCCACCATGAGTCGTCAGAGAAGCAGCATAACGTAGTCGGCAAACAACATGGCCAAAGCTCTGTTGGCAACCAGTTGTCCAACTATGTGGCCATCACATTTTCAACAGTACAGTCTATTTAATAGGAACATAAAGAAGTTAATGCTTAGTAGTCAAGACAGCAAAGACTTGATGGCCATTTCTTCATTTAGTCAGTTAAGATGCTCACATTACTAATAAACTACTTCCAAGTCTTTTAATGTATGCTTAAATTAGGCAAAATCCTTTTAGAGACTGAAGAGTGCCAAACAGCACTAGTTCGTTTCTTGAAAGATCAATCAAGTCTACTGGGAAAATGAAAAAATACTTAAATTCTGAAATCATATAGCCTCGAAGTTAGGGACTATAACCTAACTTTAATTTTCTCTGCAAACAAATTTTGACTTTTAAGGTGACCAGAGAAACTTTCCTCAATAAATTTGAGAGTAAACCACTGTCAGAACTACGTTGAACTCACAGATGCAGAGTGATCCCCATGTCTCTCAGCTCCCTCACAGACAGCAGAGGAGAGATGATATCTTGGCCGAATCTGTCATAAATGAGGACCTTTAAAAAAGTGGTTTAAATGTCATTGTTAATGAGCTACCAACTGAGAACCCACACTAAGATAACGCTGCAATGAATTTTATTTAGTAATCATTATATTGAATTCTTATCCACGTTCAGTTTAGTATTTCCAGTAGTATCCAAACGCTCATCCACATAGTTATATATTATTTAAAATATTATCAGTTAGTATTAAATAAAACAACTATTTCTCAAATTTCTTATAAAATATTCTAAGTTTAAAAATCAGACTACAATCTGAGTGTGGTGATGCACACCCATAGTCCCAGCACTCAGGGAAGGAGAGGCAGGCAGATCTCTGTGAGTTTGATGCCAGCCTGGTCTACAAAATGAGTCTGTGACAGCCAGGGTTGCACAGAGAAACCCTATCTTGAAAAAAAACCAAAACCAAATCATACTGCAAAGTCTTTTTTTTAAATTTTTTTCTTTATTAATTACACTTTATTCACTTTGTATCCCCCCAGTGGTTCCCTCCCACCTCCCGTCCCAATCCCTTCCCTTCTCCACCCTCTGCATGCATGCCCCTCCCCAAGTCCACTGATAGGGGAGGACTTCTTTTCCTTCCTTCTGATCCTAGTCTATTAGCTCTCATCAGGAGTGGCTGCGTTGTCTTCTTCTGTGGCCTGGTAATGCTGCTTCGCTCTCAGGGGGAGGCAATTAAAGAGCAGGCCAATCAGTTCATGTCAGAGACAGTCCCTGTTCCTATTACAATGGAACCCACTTGGATACTGAACTGCCATGGGCTACATTTGTGCAGGGGTCTTAGGTTATCTCCATGCATAGTCCTTGGTTGGAATAGCAGTCTCAGGAAAGACCACTGTGCTCAGATTTTTTGGTTTTGTTGCTCTCCTTGTGGAGTTCCTGTCCTCTCCAGATCTTACTGTTTCCCACTTCTTTCCTAAGATTCCCTGCACTCTGCCCAAAGGTTGCCCATAAGTCTCAGCATCTACATTGATAGTGTGCAGGGCAGAGCTTTTCAGAGGTCCTCTGTGTCAGGCTCCTGACTTGTTCCCTCTTTTCTCCTTCTTCTGATGTCCAGCCTCTTTGCCTTTCTGGATAGGAATTGAGCATTTTAGCAAGAGTCCTTCCTCTTGATTAGTTTCTTTAGGTGTACAGATTTTAGTAGGTTTATCCTGCATTATATGTCTATATGAGTGAGTATATACCGTGTGCATCTTTCTGCTTCTGGGACAGCTCACTCAGGATGATCTTTTCCAGATCCCACCATTTACCTGCAAATGTCACGATTTCCTTATTTTTTATTCTAATAGCCAGAAGCTGGAAACAGCCCAGATGCTCCTCAGTCGAGGAATGGATGCACAAATTGTGGTATATCTACACAATGGAATATTACTCAGCAATAAAAAACAAGGAAATCATGAAATTTGCAAAGTCTTTATTTTAACATTTAATAAAAAAAACTCTGAACATACAGCAAATTCATTCTTGCTTTTCTTTTTTTTCTAGTGCATATATACCCTTTCTAAGAAAAGCTAGAGATGAAATAAAAACTTAGCTCCCTTTAAAACTAAAATATGGGGCTGGAGAGATGGTTCTATGGTAAGCACGGTCTGCTCTTCAGAGGACCTAGGTTTGATTCATAACACCCACATGGCAGTTCACAACCACCTGAAAATTTAGTTCCAGGGGATCTGTGCTGGCTGGTTTGTGTAAACTTGACACAAGCTGGAGTCATCAGAAGGGAAAGAGCCTCAGCTGAGGAAAGGCCTCCATGAAGTCCAGCTGTAGGGTATTTTCTCAATTAGTGTTCAATGGGGTAGGACCTAGCCAATGTGTGTGGGGGGGGTGCAACCCCTGGGCTGGTGGTCCTGGGTTCTTGAAGAAAGCAGGAAGAGGAAGCCATAGAAAGCAAACCAGTCAGCAGCACTCCTTCATGGCTTCTGCATCAGCTCCTGCTCTGTTTGAGTTCCCACCCTGACTTCCTAAAATAGTGAACAGCAGTATTTCCCCCTCCTTGCTTTCTGTTCACAGTATTTCAGCACAGTAATGGAAACCCTAAGACAGGAAACAACACCCTTCTCCGGCCCCTGCAAGCACCAGGCTCTCACGTGGTGATACACATATATACCATATACATAAAACAAAATAAACCCCTAAAATATAACAAGTTCTAACACTATACAGAAAATTTAGAAATGCAAGCATCTTAGGTAATCTAGGTATTGACTTAAGGATTAAGTCCCAGGGATGGAGAGATGGCTCAGCGAATAAGAGCAGTGGCTGCTCTTCCAGAGGGCCCCGGTTCCCAGCACCCACATAGTAGCTCACATCTGTCTGTAACTCATGCTCCAGGGAATCTGACACCCTCACATAGACATACATGCAGTCAAAGCACCAATGTACAAAAGGAGAGAGTAAGTCCCTATCCCAGATGCACTGACTCCTACTTGCAATGGGGCACCCAGGGACCAAGGCAGCTGACTCCAACCTGGGCTACAGCCCGAGACAGTATCTTAACAATATAAACTACAAAAACTAACAGAAACCTCAAATAAGACAAAGGTCCAAAATCTAACATACAGAACTCCATCTCAGCCTTCTAACTTACTATTAGCTTTAGAGTTTAGGCTAACAAATGAAATCTTCAGTGGCTGTTTTTCACAACTCTTTTGGTGACTTTTTTTAATGGAGAAACTGCTATGATGTGAGATGAATTCTGCTATTGTTCTTACATATTAGTCTTAAATGCCAGGAATTTTAGAGACACTAAAGCCTGCTGTGGCTCTAAAGGTTATCTGTAGACAATCACGTTCAGAGAACGTTAAGTGGAAAATTACATGATAAACAAGCCACAGTGTGAAGCACCCCGAGGAGCAGGACAAAGTTTCATGTGTCCTCTCCCAGTCTGCCGAAGCCTCCTGTAGCTCTGCTCCCTTCTGCTCGTGGCAGGAAAAATCCCTGCTCCCTCTGTCTCCCCACTCTATCAGATCTACTGCCACCCGGCCCGAGCGCTGACTTTCCAGTAACCTCTGTTCTCCTCTCCAGTGCCTCGAAAGCACAGGCGCAGTGGTGTTGGCAACTAGTCACTATTGGCAGTCTCTCCTGTCCTTAGCATACAAAGCAAACACCATCACAACTGCCTACAGAGAGGGGAAGCACATACAGTAGTTCCTAGTTAATCCTGGGTTTGGTTCCAGGACCCTTAACACTGCCGAATCCTTAGACACTTAAGTCCCTTCTACAAAATGACAAAGAACTACACATATCCTGTTATGATCCTCTTGCATACTACACATGCTGTGTAAACAGCTATACTGTCTACAGAATAATAAACAAAAACATTCATGAATTCTCATTAAAATATACTATTAGTTTTATATTTTCAAGAAATTTCTTCCAATTACTATAATTTCAGGACTAAGAATCCATCAAAGCAGCTCTTACCTTCCATACCGGTTCTCCAGTGCTGTTTTTAACATGAGGCACATTGAAATTTAACATTCGCTTCAGGGCCACTGAAATAAAAGTTTACAATGTCAATTATTTATCGCAGTTTTTTTGTTGTTCACTACAAACAAAATGCATAAATAAATGACAACAAAATGGACTAATGAAATGACTGGATGTGTAAAAACTAGATTCAGATCTTTAAGATAATTCTGTCAACAGCCAATTGACACCTCTTTGGGAGCAAAAAACCAAACTGCAACAAAACAAGGCACCTGTCCCAAAAGAGCCTGTGAAAACTGTTCAGAAAAACAGAGCTCAGTGGAAGAGCACTTGCCCAGCCCACAAACTTGAACCTTGACATTGTAGGAAAGAAAAATGTCAGACAAAATCCTCACACTCCTGAAAAAGCACTTTTCTGTTTCTCCTGACAATCCCATACTGCTTTTACACACACGATCATGACCTCACAACAGCCTTGATAGCTAACTGCTATTACCTGGCTAAAAGCATAGGTTAAGAACAATCTTTATAAAAACAAAGACTATCTATGGCGTGCTTCACTGTTTCATATGGAAACCCATTACAGTAGGTCTATTTCTTAGTTACTCAAGAGTCTATTTTACAGTCAATAAACCCACTGAAAGGTTATACAACTTAAGTATTTTATAGTCCTGGGGGAAAATGAGACTTCATAATGTAGAAGATAACTGGTGACTGGAGTTATCTACTTCAAAAGCCACAGTAGCCATGCTGTATATGGTACAGTACTTTGTGGTTTTACTGCTCATCTGTTCACAGAGCACAGAAGACCAAAAATTAAATAAATAAATAAATAAATAAATAAATAAATAAATAAATAAATAAATAAATAAAAAAAAACATTTTCTAAGGAAAGTAAAAAACTACTGTGCTGCCTGGTGCTACTTCTCTGTGACCTACAGATTCAGTCTCAAGTTCCTTGTGTAGCTGAAGATGACCTTCAACTTCTAATGTTCTTGCCTCTACCTCCTGAATGCTGGGATTAGAGAGGCACGTTCTACCATAGCCCCTAGCTTTTTATGTGGTGCTGGGGATCAAACCAATGACTTCCTACATGCAAGTGCTTGAAATGGAGATGGCCAAGCATTCAAGAAAATGTACAAATTAGGTGCTTTAAGACTGGCTGTCTTAGAAACTACTTTGTTAATTAATTTATCTGTTTTGAGACAGGACCTTACTATGTAGCCCTGGTTGCCTTGGAACTCACTATGTCTTCAAAATCACAGCGATCTGCCTTCCTCTGCCTCCCGAGTGCTGGATCAAAGCCATGTGATACCATGATAGGCTACTTTTATTTTTAAAAGCATTTGGACATTCAGTAATACAGAAAAATTTACAATCCAAACTACAAATGAAGCACTATATAATACACAAACAAATGACCTTAGAGCATATTCACCTGTAGAAGAACTGTTATTGTACAGATAGGTCGAGGCAGGGCGGTAGGCGCAATGCTGCTCCTCACGATCCTTGGAAAGACTGCACTTTAGCAGTCTCAAGTCATCCCCCTCAGAACCTGTTTTGAGTACCAACAGTCCTTGGATGCTCAAGTCCCTCACGTTTGATAATACATCTTTGATACTCTTTAGAGAATACAATGGCATAGTAGTTGCACACAACCTAGGAGAACTCCTTGAAGTCATGAGAGATTAGCTCTGAACACCTACAGCAATGTAAACGCAAGGTTGTTGTACTGCACTGTTTAAGGGACAATGACAAGAAAAATGTCTGTATATGTTTAGTAAAAGTAGACACATTTTTCTTATAATTTGCAATTGTCTGAATCCACAGCTGCAGAAACCGTGGATACAGAGAGCAAAATAAAAGAGGATATTGATGTGTGTACATAATCTTTTCTTTTTTGTTTATTTATTGTGTATGACTGTGTGCATGCACATATCTGTCCATATTTGTGGAAACCAATGGACAATGTATGGGAGCTGGTTCTCTTTTTCCATCATTTGGGTCCTAGGGATCAAACTCAGATCATCAGGTTTGGTGGCATCACCTTCACCTGCTAAGCCATCTTGCAAACCCAACCTATATATATATTTTTCCTGTTAGTACTACAATAATATACATTACCAACAATTTCTGCCTACTTCAGAGAGTAACAGAGATTATAGTATTATATAAATATACACGTAAATAGCACCAACAGTGCTACTGGACTGTTTTCAGTGATGCTCCCCTCCCACACCCAGGCACTAGAGACACAAGAAGCTGATCATATTTCTTAACCCAATGATAAGCAGGAGGAACCAAAACCTGGGCCGTCTTGTCAGCCGGCATCTGACATTCTCCAGAGTTAACAGACATTAATTCATCCCATCTTGAAAGACCAGCACCAGCAGATAATTTCACACCATCTTGTCTCAGTTAGAAAAGCTTTTCTAACTCAAAGCCTTGGCTAACTTCTTCAAACATCTTGATACAAATAATTTGTTGATGAAGCACATGGCATATGTTTAGAGAGTGATAAAAGAATGCAATTCTACTTCATCAAAGTTTAACGATACAGTACTTAAATCACTGCTGGGAGGGGGATGGTGAGGTGATTTAGACAGCATAGGTAGGAATATCAGCCCAGTCCAAGGTAAATAAGGCTATTATAAAATCTAACAGGTGTCTGTGTCTTATTATTTGTGATAGTGGATTAGATAATCATAATAAAGTTACATGATTATCATGATAATCATAGGGCTAAAAACAGTATATAGCCCAGCACTCATCTTTCAGGATTTACAAGGGACAAAGGCCACTTACAAAATAAGTAAAACATATGGTATATGAGACCATGATAAATGCTGTGGGGGAAAAAAATGGAACCAGGAAAGGAGAAAAGTGAGGTGGAATATAATTTTAAACAGTAATTATAAAGGTCTCCTGGAAACACACATTTGAGTAAAGGCCTGGAGGAAGTGAGGGAGTGAGCCACAGAAGTTACTTTGAAAGAAAATTCTACCAAGAGGAAACAAATAATAAGTCAGAAGCATCCTGGTTTGGAGTCAAGGAAAGGTAACAAAGTGATCAAAGGTAAACAGAGACTAGTTCATCTGTGGAAGTGGAGATAACATCCCTTTACTTTACTCAAAACAAGAAGCTATGAGAAGGTTTTGGACAAATGTGTGCCATGCTTACTATGGGTGCTATCTGTAAAAGAAAATGAAAGGGAAGAAGGCTGTAAGAGCAAACAGTACAGAGAGAAAGTTATTGTAGAAGTTCAAAGAGATTGTGTTGGTGGATAGCAACAGGTACTGGGCAGTTTCAGGTAAAACTGGCATGATTTAATGACAAATTTGAATTGAGTTAAAGTAAAGAAAGAATGGAAATAAGGAAAGGAACGAAGGAAAGGAAGGAGGGAGGGGAGAAAGGAGGAAGGAAGGAAGAAAGGGAAGAAACAAAATGAGAAAGAAGAAAGAAATGAAGAAAGAAAGAAGGAAAGAAAGAAAGAAAGAAAGAAAGAAAGAAAGAAAGAAAGAAAGAAAGAAAGAAAGAAAGAAAGGTAGGCCGGTCACATGGAGTTTTACATGAGCAACTACCCAAACAAAGCTTTCTGCCATCAAGTGGCCTGAATTCAGAACAGACCTAGGACTGTGTAGACCTAGGTAGGACTCACCAGCTGTGGTTGTTTGAGTGAGAAGGGCCCCCTTAGGCTCAGAGATCTGAATGCTTGGTCACCAGGAAGTGGCACTTTTTGAAAGGATTAGGAGGCATGGCCTTGCAGAGGAAGGCTGTCACTGGGGTGGGCTCTGAGGTGTCAAAAAGCCTACGCCAAGTCCAGAGACTCTCTTACTGTTGCTGTGGATATGGTTGTACAACTCTCCACTACCACTCCAGCCCCATATCTGCCTGCATGCCAGCATTCTAGCTGCCATGATGACAATGGACTGAACCTTTGAAACTATAAGCAAGCCCCAGTTAAATGCTTTCCTTTATAAGAGTTGCCATGGTCTCGTCACAGCAATAGAAGACCAAGACACCAGCATATATAATAATGAAAGCTAAGAGGCCAGATAAAATCACAGCAAGAGAAAAAGTAATTGATTTGGGCTGTACAACACCTTAGGAAGATAAGAATGAGAAGAACGTGATGCATAAAGCTTTCACTGAGAAGGTGGCAACTGAGGTGACAGAGGTATTTCAGGTATTTCATGAAACAGGCATGCTAGCCAACCCTAGTTTGATCTGTAAAACAAAGACAGCAGAAACCACCAAAAACAGTAAATTCTTAGTGCATCATCTATCCTCTCTATCCAAAGTGACTGCTACCTACTTTATACGAAAGCATCCACCTACAATATCTGAAGACTGTTATTCTTAAATATTATCAGGAGAAATCAAGGAAATGTGACTTCTACTGTTGTAGCACAAAGGATTTTGTTCCGAAAATAAGACATGATCCACTTATGGTACACATTTACTAGTTGGCATCGCACAAGCTGTACAGTAATAATGTGGCATCTTGCTGTAATGGAGATTATTCCCACTGAGAGACAACGCGAAGTATGAGGTTTTAATGTCTTACAATGCCTGCATATTAAAATGGACTGTTGTATAAATTCAGTTTTTAAAAGGCTCCTTTTCATCACGACACTTTGGTGATGGGTAGTAAAATCAAATTCATTTAGTTTTATTAGGTTATTGGACCCAAACTTCTAAAAGAAGCTGGGCTTCTGTTTGCTTCCCAATAAAATGAATTATCAAGTATTCCCGAAATCATATGTGGACTTTCCCATAGTTAAGTTATGCTTTACTGTGTCTGACGGGTTTTACTAAATTAACTATAAATTTAAAGAATGTAAAGCACAATTAAGTCTGCTTTCTGTTCAGTATGCTACATTCAAATCTATTTTTTTTTTTAAGATAAGGGAAGGAATAAACCACAGTTCAAATTCTTTTGGTAGGTTGCATTGATTTTAATCAATTATTTTTCACACAAATAAGCATAATTTAAATAGAATTAAAATATAAATATTCTTGATAACTTATGGCCTATTTCCATTCTCTTTGAAAGTTTCTCCACAAGTAGAATATAAAAACCATTTTAATTTTTTATCAACTTTATACGTACATATACATATATGTATAAAATCATTACTTGGGACCAATATTCATACACCAAGCTGCTAGAGTTGTTTACAGAAAGTAAGGAAAATCAGGAGTATCTCATAAAGGAAAAAACAAAACAAAAGCCAAGAGAAGAAACACACGTTTACATTTTATTTCATAAACAGGTGTACAATATGTTCTACTTAATATACAACTTAAGATTACTAATCGGTAGAATAACTGACACGAGACACTGTTAATTAATTCGTTTTGATATTCTCCAGTCTCTTCCAGCAAGCTGCAGAAGGTCATTATCACCTGGCTTTTTTTTTTTTTTTTTTCTTCTTCAGATTCGCCCAAGGTTGGTCTAAAAGAGATGGCCTGAAGTAAGGAGCTCTAAGAATACTTAGATTTTGTAATTATGGCCCAAGTGTCGAAAACAGGTTTAAAATACATTAAAACTGAAAGTGAAAACCAAGTCAAACACGGAGACATGAACGAGCACAAACCTAGTCCTGGTTCAGCCACGGTGCAGGAACGAGGACCCCGGCTGCCAGCCCTCGGGGACACGGCCTTCCGAGCGCGGTAGCAGGGACACGGGGCAGCCGCCTACCCCGGCAAGGGCGAACCAGTACAGGCGTCTCTCCCAGCAGCTCCGCAGGGAAGCAGCGCCCCAAGCTCAGCCCCACGCCGCACGAAAACGGAGAGACCACAGACACTAAGCGCAGAGAAGGAAAGCACCAGTACCTGTTTGCCGCTCCCGAATGCTGGCCGGAGACGCCATGACGCTTCCCACCGTCCGCTGCCCGGCTGGCAGCGGGAGCCCGAAGATGACGTGGCCTGACGCGGCCTAGCTCCGCCCCGGAAGCGGCTCGGGGGCGGGGCGGAGGCGCCGGAAGTAGCGCGGTGGGCGGGGCGGAGGCGGGGCGGAGGCACCGGCCCGGCCCGGCCAGGCCAGCCCACGCCTTCGGCTCCGCCCGTCAGGACCACCCCGCCAAGGGTCGCGGATCAAAAACTGCCTTCCGGGGCAGGGGCGTGGCGGAGCGCGGGGAAGCTCCTGACACTGAAGTTTTTATGACGTTAAAACCTCCTAGAAATTACAAGACCAGAGAGACGCCGGGAACTGCGTTTTCTTGATTCCCACGGCAGCAAAAGTGTCCCTTTGGTCTGAGAACAAGAACTTACTGAAAACGTGGCAACTTTCTCAGTCCTATTCCGTAAGCAAAACGTCCCGGCTTTGGTGCGTTGGTCTGCTAGCGTAGAAAATCACAGAAAAGACAAATGGCAAAATTTCCTCCTTTCAGTAGTGCAAATTAAAAACCACCACCATGATTTTGGGCAGAATTTGGATGATCACAGCCAGGTTTGGTACATTTTAAGGCGTGGCATTATGAAATAAACCCCATATTGACCACTTACATAATATTTTATTAAGGTCAAAATAGATATACAATGACAACTTATTACCAGTTCAACGAATACAACGAAGACATTGCATTAGCGGATAATTCTGAAGCAATAAGAATCTGAGATGAAATCATACTAAACCTTGGCTTTCAAAATTACATAAAATTGTTAATTTTTTGAAATTAAGATCGCATTTTTTACAGTAAAGACATTGACAAATAAAGAGGCTTATTTTTATAGTTACAACAGGCTATCTTATTTTTAAAACCACCAAAAAATACCTTAGGCCTAGAACCGGATTCCTTAAAAATTACATCATCTTTTATTTTATAGCTGGCACATGCATTAAGAAATCAGAATGAAGGTTTTCCTCACTGCTATTATATTTTAACAATCTTCAATGACCTGGGTGTGCCATGAAGAGCAGCTTCTGCCTTAAGAGAAGTATTCTACATTCTAGTGCTCATGGACTATAAAGTATATGGCTTTTCCACCTTCCAAAATGATAAGTCAATTTATTCACCTGAGCAGTCCCACTTTAAGTACAAATTTGGCATTTAACCATTTCAGTTCCATCACACATTTCTTCAAAGACTATTATAAGGCACGTTACCACAAAATACTAAGACAAGGTTAACATTTATACAGAGTGAATGTGTGTGTGTATTTCTGTCAAATAGTGTGCAGTGTAGGAAATAAGAAAAACATACCCTACAGGAGAAGAGTACCTATATAAAATAAGCCTTGCAACGCAAGGACCAAGAAAGATATTTATATTGTATTATTATAATAAAAATAAGAATCATGGCTGAAGAGTGTAGTTGCTTATCTGACTGGATTTTTTTGGATTAAATAATTGAACCACATTAGTTTCGTCACAGAATAATAGCCCAGGACAACTCATTTCTTGAGGAATTACAAGATCTCTCAAGTTTGAAGAGTAAAGATCTTTGATCTTAACAACTTTAACATTATTAACCTTGTAAGTGGACTATTGGTTTAAGACACTAGTGAGAATGGGGAGAGGAGGTAAGTATAAGGTAATAAGGAGAGAGAATATGATCCAAGTTCATCACATACATGCATATATACATAAATGTCATGAGAGCTATTGCTTCATACAATTATATGCTAATAAAAAGGAAAAAGAAGAAATATGGCTGCATTAAAAGAAAATCATATCTATTGGATCCTTAGCACAGGCAAAGACATCAATCAAAGGTGAGGAAACCTCAATTGAGAAAGGGCCTCAGTAGAAATCAGGAGAGGGCAAGTCTGAAGAGCATTTCCTTAATTAGGGATTGATGGAGAAGAACCTAGCCCATTGTGTGTGGTGCCAGCTCTGGACTGGACTGGAGGTTTCAGGATCTCTAAGAAATCAAATAGGCAGGCCACAGAGAGCAAGATATTAAGTAGCAATCATTCACAGCTTTTATGTCAATGCCTCCCTCTAGGTTCCTGCCTTGACCTCCTTCAATGAGGAAGTGACATGGAAGTGTAAGCCAAACAAACCCTTTCCTCTTCAGGTGCTGGTGGTCACAATGTTTCACCACAGCCATAGTAACCCTGACTGAGGTCAGTCCCAACACGTTATCTAATTTAGTTTATATGAGCACTTCACATTTAGTGACAAACATCTGCTCAGAAACTTCATTCTACGATTTTATATTTTTTAATTCAAATTTTTGGTGATAGTGTAAATTAAATGCAAGGCCTTACACATGCTGAGAGGGGAGCCACTCCACCCCTGGGCAACAGCGCCAGCATTGTGTATTTTGTTTTTATTTTAAACAGAGTGACTTATAAACTACTTCTCAGTACAATGTCTGGTGCATAGTCGGTTTAGAGCAGATTCTGAAATTTGAAAGCAGACATCGGAATTTTAAAACTGGGTCTCTTTCAAGAGCTGCAAAATTTCCCAAGTTACAGGTAAAACAAACTCAAGTCATTCATCACTGCTCTTGTGCTTTACATTACACTACGTGAACCATAGCAACTTTGTAAAAGTAACCATGCCTATCAACAGTTTACTTCGTACTCTTTGCTTATAACTGAATGTCAAAGCAATGTCACTGGGAAAAACTTACCGTTACACACCCCTTTACAGACTGTCTTAACATTGAACGAAATGTTCCCAAATCTTCCAACATAATTATGGTCTCAGACAACAGAGACCACACTAGTGGAGGCTTTTGACTCAACCAAACGTTTCTTTACGTTAATGTTAAGAAGTACGCTATAGAACAGGATAGAAACAATCACAAGAAGGAAACAGTGACACTGTAGTTTCCCTGATAAGTATCAAGTGGAAAGATTAAACTCGAGACCATGCTAACGAAACCTTCAAACCAAAAACATTTTAAAATATGAAGAGGTAATTATGCTATGATTGTTTACCCGATCTCTCTGCTAAGGCCATGTTTACATGTCAGAAAGTTCAGTAAAGGCAAAATGATACCTTTCCTGTAGCCTGCCGAAGGCTCCACAATCCCAGCCTAACATTGTATGAGGGCTGAGTTAGCTCTTATTACTACCCTAGAAAAATTCTACTTCAAACTACAAGCTGGGAAATAGCACTTTAAAGCTGTGTGGATATAACAGACTTTAACACTCTAAGAACCGAATACATTAAGACATAAAGATGCAATCTAGCAAAACAACTGAATAAAAGCTATCTGATGAGTTTGAGGTTTAAACTGTTCATAATGGATCATTTCAACTGTTTAGGAAAAAAAACCTAGCACAATGTAATACATGATAAAGAAATGCTTTCATGCTAAATGCTCAAGGTAAAGAGGAACTTTATTAGTTCTGTTAAGTACAATATGAAAGGGTATGTGGTAACAATAAAAAAAAGACACTGATTACCAACTGAGTTTTCCTTTGGCATTAAGAAGTGTACTACTATGAAACCAATCCTGCTTTCTACATGAAGAAAAATATGAGGGTTGGCTTTTTTAACTCCCCCTGACTTTTTAAATTGAAAATTGGGCTTTGTCTTACATATATTTAATGATAGATGACAGCATTAGACTTGTAAGGCTACAAATATGAAGATATTACTATGCATGGTTTCTTTACTTATTTATCAAACTATGGAAACAGGCCATATGTACTCCAGAAAAGTTTGAAAGTTGCTCTGTCTCTCCTGATCCTGCAGAGTGTTTGGATTACAGATGCCTTGATGAGAACTGACTTTATTACATGATTTTCTGTTACTCTTGATAGCATTCATATAGTTAAAAAATAAATGCTGCTGGTGGATCAATGGAATGAAATAGAAGACCCAGAAATAAACCCACACCCCTATCAACACCTGATTTTTTACAAAGATGCCAAAACCATACAATGGAAAAAAGATAGCATCTTCAACAAATGGCGCTGGTATAACTGGATGTTCACATACAGAAAAATGCAAACAGATCCATATCTGTCACCCTGCACAAAATTAAAGTGCAAGTGGATCAAACACTTCAACATAAAACCAGACTCACTAAACCTGTTAGAAGAAAAAGTGGGGAAGAGCCTCAAACTCATTGGCACAGGAGACAACTTCGTGAACAGAACACCTACAGCTCAGTCTCTTAAGATCTACAATTAATAAAAGGGACCCTGTGAAACTGAAAAGCAAAGGGTCTATCACAAGAAAAGAACAGCCCACAAACTGGGACAAGATCTTTACCAACCCTACATCTGACAGAGGGCTAATATCCAGAATATATAAAGAACAAGAAATTAAACACCAATAAACCAAATAATCCAATTAAAAAATGTGGTACAGAGCTAAGCAGAGAATTCTCAACAGAGGAATATAGAATGGAAGAGAAACACTTAAAGAAATGCTCAATATCCTTAGTAATCAGGGAAATGCAAATCAAAACAACTCTGAGATTCCATCTTATACCTATGAGAATTGACTAGGATCAAAAACTCAAGTGACAACACATGCTGGAGACAATGTGGAGAAAGTGGAACCATCCTCCATTGCTGGTGTGAGTGCAAACTTGTACAACTACTTTGAAAATCAATCTGGCGCTTTCTCAGAAAATTGGGAATAGCACTAACTCAAGATCCAGCTATACCACTCCTGAGTATATAACCAAAAGATGCCCCACTATTCAATAAGGATATTTGCTCAACTATATTCATAGCAGCTTTATTTGTAATAGCCAGAATCTAGAAACCTAGATGTCCCTCAACGGAGGAATGGACACAGAAATTGTGGTACATCTACACAATGGAATACTACTCCACTATTAAAAACAAGGAAATCATGAAATTTGTAGGCAAATGGATGGAACTAGAAGAGATCATCCTGAGGTAACACTGAAACAGAAAGACAGGCATGATATATACTCAGTTATAAGCGGATATAAGCCATATAATATAGAATAGCCATCTACAGACCTAAACACTAAGGAGGCCCCTAGGGAGGATGCTTAAATTTCATTCAGAATGGCAAACAGGATAGACACCGGAAGTGGTGGAAGAGAGGAAACAGTATGAGAGCCTACTACAGAGAGTCCTCTGAAAGGATCCACTCAAGCGGGGATCAAAGCAGATGCTGAGACTCACAGCCAAACTTTGGGCAGAGTGCAGAGAGTCTTAGGGAAGAAATTGGGAGTGGGATAGAGGGACGTGCCAACATCAAGGGTATTCTCTTTTACCTAAAGGTATGGAATTTTATTTGACTGGAGTAGTTTCCACATGAGATGCCAAAGAGCTCACGGCATCGAGATTGATCTTGTTCAGGGTGTACCCTGGTTCCTGGCCTACTCTCCAGCTGTTTGTACTTGTTACAGAGTGGACTTTCTCAAGACTTTATCCTTAGAGTCCTTTTCTTTCTTTCTCTGCCTTGGAGCTCTTACTTTGTCTTGTTTCTTCCACAAGCTCTCACTTGGTCTTGCCTACAGGATTACTCCACATAGCTATTTCTGGTCACATAGTTTTAAGTGTTTATAGACTGTCTTCTAGAAAACTCAAGCTCATTGTGTCCAGAGGCAAGATGCTTAATGTCAGTCAATGAGAGGGTGTTTTTCATTTATCTCAACTTTAAAAAGTCTTTGACCATTTGATACATATACATACATATCTATGTATCTGCAATATACTGTGATCATATTCACCCCTCATTAAACTGTCTTCTCCCCCTCATCACCCATGTTCTTCTAATCACCAATTAGGTCTTCTCTGCCTAATGAACTCAGTTGACTGCTCTCTGACCACTTGCTCCTAATGATGCAGCCTTGCCAGGCCACAGAGGAAGAGGATCCAAGCAGTCCTGATGAGACTGGATAAGCTACGAGCAGATGGCAAACAGCAGAGAACTCTTCCTTTCAGTGGACTAGGGGAAAGGGATGGGGGAAGGCGGAAGAAGAGTGGGAGTTAAGGAAGGGGGCTTCAATCGGGTTATATAATGAATAATTTGCGAAGAAAAAATTTTTTAAAAATTATAATAAACATTGCTGGGCACATGGTTATACACCTTAACCTCAGCACCTAAGTGACTACAGCATGAGGACTACAAATTTAGAACAGAAGGGCTCTGTAGAAAGACCTTGGCACAGACAATAAACACTGAAAAATAAATAGTTTATAAAGAATATACAAAATACATTATTTATCTCTAAGTGGCAAAATTAGAGTATTTTTTAAGTTGTAATTTTAAATTATTATCTATTTATTGATTATACAAAGTATCTTTTGAAAGCAAAGAAGGTAACTATAGGATGCTATGGTTAGATCTTACAAATCATACAATAATCTTGATAATAAATAGCTGTTCTGTAGCCAAACCATTTGATAACCCACAGAGGTTATTCAGACACCTAGATGACACATGCTAATAAATACATGGCCTTTACACAATATGCCCTTTCTAAGGGATTTTCAAGCACTTCTGAAAACCTCAGGAGCGCCTTTCAGCCTATAGAGAACCCATGGATTCCAGAGTTAGTCATTTGTAAAGCTCTGCTTTTTACAGTGTTTCCAATTAGTCATTATTTAATTATTACATTGGTGACTTAATTATAAAAACAATGAAAAATGCATATCCATATTTTTGATTTATAAGATGACTTAACCAACATTTCTATTTAATGCTTTAAAATAAAGAATTTTGACAGCCATCTACACAGTCAGTTCTAGGACACCAGGAGTATGTAGAGGCAAAAACAAACAAACAAACAAAACAAACAAACACCAAAAAACTGCACAAAACTAGAAAAAGGGTGTCATCCTACAAGTGATTCTAATTTATAAAAATCAAGGAAACATTTTTTCACATATCAGGCTAATATAGCTGAGCACCTGTACAGCTGAACAGTTTGTACAACCATTCAAAAAAATATTCATATTGAAGATATGAAATAAGAAAGCACAGTTATAGAAAGCTATCACCATATATGACTAGAATGCCGACCCAAACTTTAGTGGTTTGGGAAGCAAACCATCCCTTTATAAGAGAGCCATAGATTCTGATGAGCCAAGCTGGCTAGAATGTTCAAAAACAATGATTCATACAAATAGTTATCAATTGATGAATAGTAGAAAGGTTTCAATAGCAGACTTTTAAAGATGCACTTCTTCATTAGAAGAAACATTTATTGTCCAAGATAGTGAGACCTTTCTTCTTTTTCTAGCCTTAGAGCATCTCTTATGGCAAAATCCATATTTTCTTGAAACTCTTTATATGTTTTGGTGATTGGTAGAGCTAAACAGTTTCCACATCTGTTTGCAACAGGAAAATCCATATGTAGACATTCAATTGAAGGAGAGGGTTTAAACCCAGCAGGTGGAACAGAACTACAACCGGTTGCAAAAATAAGAATGTCTTCCACTGTTGTTGTAGATTTACCATCTGAAAAGTTACCAATTAAAGAGAAAAGAAAATTAAATCCATGAACCATCCTATTGTCAGACTATTTCCCAGCTGGACTAAGAATACTGAAGCAACAGATTCTGACACTCATCTAGGGTAAACTAAAACACAAATTCTGCTAAGCAGTGCATGCAATACCTGAATATCAATGTAGGACTCCAAAAAAAAAAAAAAAAAAATCAGGCTACCCATTTATGATAGACTTCTTTTATGGAATCATTAGAATAGCTTACAACTAAATAGCAAAAACCAAAAAGTTAAAGGAAATTAATTGAAAGTAAAAATGTTCTTTTATACAATGAAATAAGTAATGAGTAGGTAGTATTAACAAATACTAATGGCATAATGAATAAAGTGAATATAGAATTCAGTTTGACTTTAAGCTGAAAAAGATGAAATAGAAATTAGTTTTAAGACTGTTTTTTGCCATTAAAGTTTTAGGTTCTTGTTTTATTTAAGAAGAATGCTCTCTATCCTAAACTGTGTGTATATGTATATTAGTGTATTCGGGAGCTTTTTTTTTTTTTTCATCACTTCTAGTTTATGCTTGCTTCCTTTGTAAATACACATAACAGATTTGAGTCTTAATGGCAAGAGCAAAATCCAATAACCATATTGAAAAAAAAAATTCACATACCTTCTATAGCCTCTAAGTAACTGTTCCAAAACCTCAAAGTTTGGACATCTGATAACGCACGTATTACGAAGAGATCACAAAGGTTTTTTGCAGAGAGTTTCTCAGGTTTACAACAGAGGATGTTATAAAATGCTTCTGGGTAAGTTTGAATTTTCTCTAAAACACCAAGTGTTTTCAGACCCTGTTTAAAACTTGAAGAGAGAAATAATGAGCCAATGAATACACATGTGTGTTTTATAGCATATTTACCTAATATTTTATAAACATATGATTAAAACAAACAAATAAAACAGCCCAACAAAAGCTACTACATGCTTTCAGATATGAGATAAAATACCAAGATATACTTCCAAACCAACAAGCAAATGGATTAATGATTATTTTATATCACTTGGCTTTCTAGTTTTACAACTGTATTTTACTGAAAGTAGTAAGTACTATTTTGCATGGTTGGAAAATCTGTTTTTACACTATAGAGTTGTTAAATGAAATTCCTAGGGATAATTCTCTGTAAATAGTGTGGTTCAGAGGTCTGGAAAGCAGTGACTATTGCCAGTACTATTGATTGCCTACAACCAACTGTACGGTAAAGCCCTACTGATACAGGTACCAGGAACCTTGACTGCAAGAATTAGGGAAATCACAATCTCCAGCCTAACAGGAAATGACTTCCCTGCTGATTAGCTTTCATACTCTCAAAGGTGCTATGCAGGGTGCTGAGGGAGAAAAGCCATCAATGGTCTCAGCCAGCAATGAACCACCCAATCTACAATAACTTACCAGGCAAGATTTGAGTACCACAGTGGCAATGGTATGCTGGGGGTTAATCCATCATTTTGGATTTGAAGCTTGCTTTGCATAACTTTGGACAACTGGTATATCAAATCAAAACTCATGCAACAGCCACTAGAAGGGAACTACTCTTATTCTGTTAAGCAGTCAGACTGTCAAACTGTCATCTAAATTTATGTTTATACCCATAGATCTGGGTTGTTCTCAACTTTGGTCAGGGAAGCTTTATTTTTGCGGTGAACAGCAGAGACTCATACTGGATAAAGTGTTCAGCCTTAAATATAACACCTGTATCAGGGCCCCCTATTTCCCCTCACTCCCATCCCCCATACCACTAGTGCCAAGGCAAAGAAGGAGAAAAAAATGTAAGGGCTGGAAGATGAAAAAAATTGTTATATAATCTGTCTCAGGATATGACATAGCTGTTGTACTGAAGAACTCACAAAACCTGCTTCGCTGTAATCTTCCAGCATGGAAGGGGAAGAGTGGTTCACAGGCCCTATTACTAGCTGAGGAACTACTTGCAGCTGTTGACAGATGGGGAGGAAGAGTCAGTTTTCTTTGGGATTTCAGCCACTGGTAGGTTGCCCATGCTCCAGCATCTGCCCCCACATCCTGTGCATACTGGCAGCAATAATTAGACCAAGAGAATTAAGAGACAGATGGGGGTGCTGGAGATTCGAGGCAGCAGCGGAGGAGCACGGGTGAGAGATGGGTATAATCAACATACACTCTATGCACATACGAAACTTTCAAGGCTACTACAGTGCACTCATCTAGTAATGACAGGAAGAAATAAACCTTAATCACATAAACATTTGAAATTAAGACAAAATGAAGGAAGATATTTTAATACACACGACAGAAAAATAGGTATTTGTAAAACAGAAATTTTTCTAAAAGTCAATGCATTAAAACATCAGCAAGAATGCATGGGAAATAAAGGCTCTGGGAATCCCCAAAGAAACCCAATCAAATTAACATTACAATACGAACCACAAATAAATGGTATTATTATTCATAAGTCAGTAAAGCTCCATTTTGAGGTTAACTTAAGTCTCCTTTTTCATAACTATGAAGTCCTACCCACTTCCTATTCTTAAATCTTATTTGCAAATTTCTCAGTATACCTTGGCTACAACATAAAATAAATAAAATAGATATCATGGTCTGTGCAACAAGTGGGGAAACCTTCCAAGTACATTTCCACACTGCTGGCCCAGCAATGTGCCAGAGAAAACTCGGCCTATACAGAAGTGAGTTAAGTGACTGTCTCCATATCCTCTTCCCTAGTACGTGTATTTACAAGCAAAATAAAACAAGCATCATAGACAGAATTGACAGTAAGGATTTTGAGATGAGACCATCCAGTTTATATTATTAGCTGTGGCCCCAAATCCAATGACACAAAGAAATGACACACCTGTAGAGGGAAAGGGCATGACAGTCAAGAGATCAAGGTTACACTATCATAAATCAAGAGATGTCAGATACCAGAACAAATTTTTTCCTCAATATCTCAGAAAACCTGAAGTTCTATCATACGTGAATCTTACACTTCTGTCTTCAAGAATTATGGCTACAAGTACCTGCTGTTGTTTTAAGCCATTCAAGGGCTATGACCGCCTCTATCGGGAAATGCTATCTGATTCATTCTATGAACAATACACTGTTACCAACACCCTTCCTTGGCTCTGTGTCCCAATACTTCTCTCCACTCGAATGTGGGAAGTGCTTTATCTCAGAATTCCCAATAAGCTTGAGAATTAGAAACTTCAATGTGAAGCTTTTGTTCACTTCCTTATGACTGGCATAAAATAAGTATTATAAATTCCAAGCTCAATGACTGCTAACTTGCTGGCACAAATAAAAATACAACACAAAGAAACAAGCCAAGCTGGAACAAGGTTTGGATATTTTCAAAACGTCCCTAGAGAAATGGCACCACAACATCGGAGAATAAAAGTAGAAGCAGTGAAGCCAAATGAAATATGAAAGGGCAAACAGACTAAAAAGTGGGTGAGCACGTGGGAATGCAAAGTCTAAGATCTGCCATGTTTTAGAATAAGGAGTAACTAACCACCATGGAGAAAGTTCTTCAGTTCCCTTGTTTTGGTAGAGAAGGCTTTTTCCCAGTGACCCAAAGCATCTGGTGTGTCTCCTCAAAGCCAGAAGACACTGTCCTACAGCCTGGTGCACTCTAGCAGAAAATGGTAACCTCTGTTCTTCTTGGGCCCCACTAAGCCCTTATTCTGGGGAGGGGCTTACACAGCTTCAGGGTACCTCAGTAATTCTCATAGTTTTTACATAAAACTTGGAGTTAGTCTTGAGCTTTTTTCTTCATGTTCTTGATATTGTGACTCCTATTTATCAGTCAGGTTTTAATCTGAAGACAATAGTCTGATCTAGACTACTCATATACATGAAAAGAGGACAAGTGAATGACAATGATTTCATGTTCTTAGCAATGAAATCCAATAAACAGATTTAGTGCTAGAAGAAAACTCTGTGTGTGTGTGTGTACACATATAATTTAGAAATCCATTTCTAATAAAAATACATTTGAATTTTGGATATTAAATATAATTTAAAATGATATATAATATTCATAATTTTAGAGTTAGAAAATATTTGGATATACTTAAAAGTTATGTGTTAAACTGAAGTGCCAAAAATCCAAATACACATCAATTTGATTGATGGGGGCAGAAAATCAAACTAATATAGCAAAATAATTAATTCTTAAAAAGCAATCAAACAGAAGAAATGCATCTAGGTGTACCAGCACACCTTTTTAATCCCAGCACTCAAGAGGTAGATGAAGGTAGATCTCTGAGTTCAAGGGCAGCCTGGTCTACAGACTGAGTTACTGGGTTCCAGGACAGCCAGGGCTACACAGTGAAAACCTGTCTCAAAAACAAAACAAAAAAGAAAAAAGTAAACAAATTTTAAAAGAAAAACAATAACGATATCCAATCATTGCTATGGAGTGGTATATAGACTATACTGTCGAGTTTTAAAAAAGAAAGAAAAGAATGGCTGACTTACATGTCTAATCAAATTAATGTATATAGATTTATTTGCTATCATTTAAAATTGAAGCAAATGATGGAAAAGGACAAGGCCCTAGAGAGTTGGCTCATGGTGAAGAGACTGTATGCAATCATCAGGAAACAAGCCAAGCAAACAGCACATTCCCATAGCCCTAGTCCAGGAAGATAATGAGGAGGCCTAGCAGTGAAAATGTTTATGGAGAGATCCCAACTCTAAAGAGCAAACAAGGACTGACAGAGAAGGACAGCAGCTGCCTCTGCTGGCTCCACTCATGCACACATTCACACACAGGACAGGAAAAAAAGAAATAACGAAAAACGATTACTTCATAAAGGGACAGAAGACAGAGGTCATGAGGCTGAAAACTATGCTCCTCCTTCTGCATTGCATACATGATAGTTAAGTATTTTACAACCACATGGATATTTATATAAAAGTTTAAAATAAATCAATAACAATTAAATAAGAAATTAAAATGAAATACTCAGTTTATAGTACAGCTACCCAGAGAACAACCATATTTAAAATTGTCCAGCTTTGCACAGAAGAAGAAAACAACTTCATTTTGGCACCATATTATTGGATTTGAGACTGCTGTTGATGAAATGTTGAATTAATCAAGGAAGTAATTGTGTTCTTAATTCTTCAGTATCCATTAAAAAATTTAATTATCTGTGTACGGCTGGCTTTCCATCAATATAGGACTGTGCACCATCTAAACAGTACGTAGAGGCCAGAAGAGGACATTGGACAGTTTTGTCAGAGGCCATGCGGTACTGGGAACCAAACCTGGGTTTTTGGCAAGAGCACCCAGGGCTCCTGACTGCTGAGCCATTTCTCTAGCCCAGCAGTTCTCACCTGTGGTTCAGGACCCTTTCAAGGTCACATGGCCAATATCCTGCACATCAGATACTGACATTACAATTCACAACAGTAGCAAAATGACAGGTACGATGTAGCAATGACATAATTTTATGGTTGGGGGTCACCCCAACATGAGGAAGTGCATTAAGCGGTTGCAGCAATGGGAAGGTGGAGAACCACTGCTCTGGCCCATAATTCTACAGTAATCTTAAGAATTAAGATTGAACTGGGATTGTTGACTAGACGTAACAGCATACATCTGCAATCTTAGCACTTGAGAGGTAGAGGTAACACAGTTTAAAGTCATCCTTAGCTACGTAAGAAGTTGGAAGAAAAAAAAACCCAATAGAAAATAAAACCAAATGCTATGTTTAATTAAAAAAAAAAAAAACAAAACAACAACAAAGGAGCAGGAAGAACCTTGTACTCCAATTAAAAAAGAAAGCCATTAAACATTAGAAGAGCTCAAAAGAAACAAGAGTAGTGGGTTTATACTGAGATGGGCACGGTGGACGAGCTTGCAAATAAACCACGCATAATTACATTAAGGTATATCACATACTTGTTTGAAACAATATGGAGTCACTATCAAGAGAAAGGTACAGCCTAACCAGATAGGCCATAGTCTTGTGCTAGACCTGGGGTGTGGCTATCCTATGTTTACTTACTATCCTTTAAAGAATGGAGGAGCTGGAGAAATGGCTCAGCAGCTAAGAGGACTTACTGTTCTTACAAATGACCTGGTGATTTGGTTCCCAGCACTCTCACAGTGGTTCAACCATCTGTAACTGCAGTTCCAGGGACATCTTCTGACCCCTGTGCATTCTTGTATACAAATGGTATATACACACACACTCAGGCACATACACAGAATTTTTTTTTTCAAAATAAATGTAAGTTTGACCAGGCATGTAAGCATACATCTTTAATCCTAGCAGAGATAGGAAGATCTGAGGATAGCCTCGTCTACAAAATAACATCTAGAACACCCAGGACCACAGACACCCTATCTCAAAAAAAGGAGGGGGTAGTGCAGTTTAAGACGTCTCAAACATCTTAAATGTTTGGATGGTTCAGAAGGTAAAGTCTGCTCTTAAAGAGGATCCAGGTTTGATTCCCAACACCCACAAGGCAGCAGAGAGCAACTGTCTGTAACTCCAACCCCTCTTCTGTCCTCTGTGGGCACTCGACATACATGTGGTGCATAAACAAGCAGGGGATAACATGCCCCCCACATATGTATGTACACATGTATGTGTGTATGTGTGTGTGTGTGTGTGTATATATATATATATATATATATATATATATATATATATATATATATGTATGTATGTATATTTTTAAGAAAGAACAAAATCATTCAGATCTGTATTTTAAATCAAAGAATTGTTAGTACCAATTTGCACAGCAGATAAGAAAGTGTTCAATAACTACATAAATGAGGAGATAGTAGCTCAAGTGGTTATAATTTTTAAGTGAGTTTTTATTAGAAAAAGCATTAGTAATTGAAGTGCTGATTGTTTCTCCCTGAGGGACCCATTCATATAATTCTGGACAGAAGTAAATAGGACTCAGCCACCAGTGGTTAAGCTTTAAAGTATTATTTTAAATAGCATTCTCTGAAAACAGCACTCATACTTATTACCAAAGAACCACTTTAAATGTAATTTGATAGAATCTTTACCATAGAAACAAACAACTTACCTCTCAAAGGGTGCTTCAACTCTCTTAATTACATGGTAATAAAGGATGTCTTTTACCAACATGTATTTATCACTTAATGTTGACATAAGTCTTAAACATCTACTAAAGTCTAGGTAGTTATAGCACTCATTTATAACTGAATTTAAATTGTCCATATTGGCTGCATTATTTATCTGTAACACAGGAAAAAATATGCTCATGTTACTCATTTATTCTGAGCCATAGCTACAATGTGCTGAAATACATTTAATATTCAAAAGCTATGTGTGAGGTCAGGCGCTCGTGAGTGCAGATGCCTGTAGAGGTCACGGAGCTACAAGTGGCTGTACAGTACCTGCCATGTGGGCTGGAAACTAATTTCTGTCTTCTGCCAAAATCAGTCCCATCTTTTTAGTTGTTCTGTTTTTTCCGACAGGGTCTAATTATGCAGTCCTTTGGCTGACGTGGAATCCTCTGTGCAGACCAGGCTGATCCTAAGTCATAGGATCCACATGTCTGCCTCCCATGTGCAAGGTTAATGGCATGCAGCACCACTGCAGGCCACAGTACACACTCTTAACTGCAGAATCATCACTCTAGTCCTATATCGAATTCTTTAGTACAACATGGTAGAAAAAAATTAAGCCAAGAAATATATTCAAGATGTCCCTTTTTGGCATCCTGGAAACCACACAGTGGAAAACAAAACCAGTTTCAACAGGTTGCCCTCTGTCATCTACATGTACACCATGGCATGAACATGTAACACCCAAAAAAACCTGTAGGCTAGAATTTGCTAGTCCCTACTCTAAAACTGAAAAAACAAAACAAAAAAACCAAAAACCACCTGTTTTCTTATACATATATTAAACATTGTCTAGCCCATGCAGTGTTTTAATGCTCATCTGAGAAGGTTAAGGACTGTAGCAGCAGACTGAGACCACTAAGGCATCCAGCCTCATGTACCAAACAACTAAAAGATTCTGTCCTGTGTGAGAAAGAAACACTCCTGGGAAGCGAATCTAATTAAATCTCATTTAAAAAATTTATGTTCTACTCCCACAAGGCATGATAGCATTCCTTCAGTTCCAGCACTGGGGGGCAGAGACAGGTGTGTCTCTGAATTTGAGGGCAGAGTGGTCTACAAAGAGAGATCCAGGGCTATGTCGTGAGACCCCAGAAAGAAGAACAAACACACACTCATTCTATCTCTTCTATTCCTTCAGAGGACCGTGGGATCTGTCTTCATTACCTAAAGGAGGAGTAAGCACTCTGATAGTGAGATAAATCCTTCTCAGATCAGGGAGGTCTGTTTTATCTGCATGAAGGAACTTGTCTCCCTCTGTCTACATCTAGTCTTGGGCATTCTGACCATAAATCTAAGTAAATTAAATACCTGTTTGCTAACATTAAACCTAGAACAATATTCATCTCTAGCTCTCTGACTTCTGTGGTTATTTTTCCTTTGTTTGTGGTTTTTGTCTTTTTTAAGACAGGGTCTCACTACATAGCCCGGGTTAGCATTCAGCTCTTAAATCAGTGATATTTATTTAGATATGTTCAACCATGCTGAGTTGTATTAGTTTCTGAACTGGTTCTGAAGTCTTTGAAGCATAACAAATCTATCACGTTAAAACACAGCTAGAATATAATTTATATTTTAACAAACAGGTATGTTTCTTACCTTCATTATAATTTGTGCTACATCAAGGTCTGAAACATCATCCACAATTGGTAGAGTGTTTTCTGGTCCGTAAGCAAGGCAGTTAAATAAAGTTTCAGAAAAGAAACCAGGTGAAGGACCACCATGAACTAAAGAAATGGCAAGCATTTTGCCAGCTTCATAGTAAAGATTCTCTTGCAGAGCTGTAAATACAGATAAGAATGAACTGAATATTAAGATAACCATCATTTAAGATGAAGATACATACAGATAGAAAGCAATTAGAAATCCAAACATTGTAAAATAACCAGGAGAAGCTACCACACTGTGTAGACCTTCCCCAGAAACGTATTTTAAAACATCCCACTTGGATATAAGTAGACTACTGTAGAAAAAGGTTAATTGTAAAATGATTATTTCAAATATAAATGCATAAATTAGCACAGGGCAGTTTAACATTAGCCAGCAGTGAACCAAGTAACAAAGGGAGGACTAGCCTTAAGCACAATGCTGAGCAATTATTTCTCCATTCCAAATCTCCATGCTAGCCTAGCTTCTTCCTACCAGCCAAAACCACCACCATATTTGCATTTTTTTTTCTTAATTCTCCCTTGCCTCCAGTTCTCTTTTCCTGATACTTCTGGACCTCTCCTTATGGCTCAATCCACCCCTTCCTCCCTCTTTCCCCTCCTCTCATTGGATTCAGGCATACAACCCTATTCTATGGCTTAGTATTGGCTTGTCAGTGTTTATTGGCAAATAGAAAACAAATAGTAAGAATATCTACAAAAACTTAAGACAGGAGATACTTATAATAAACATTACAATGCCATATCCAGAATGAAACCAGACCATGGGATAGAGAAATTAGCATTTGGATGAACAAGGGTAAACTTTCTACAGTACAAAGTAACATTATGCCAACAGTAAGTCTTTGGGAAAATAAATTATCTATAATGAGAGGCTGGAGATAAGACACTTCCAGAGGATGGAATTCAGTCCAGACCCCACATGGTGGCTAAAAATTACTTGTAACTCCAATTCCAGGAGGATCTAATACCCTTCTCCCACCTTTGCAGGCACTAGGCATATGCAAGTGGTGCATACATGCAAGCAAAACATTCACTCAAATGAAGTAATAAAATCCTTTAAAATGTGACTATAACTGATTGCATCACAGTAAGTGTAAATCCTCTGGCTTACTTTTCTCTGTTATTAAGTAAATGTATACATAGTTCGGTTCTGCTTTTTTCCCAAGTACTAGACTGTAAAATTTTCTCAAACTATTAAAATTAGTTATATCTACAGTTATTAGATGCATTAGACTAGAATAGAATACAGTACAAAGCATCCCTTACTACTGGCTACCCAGGTTATATGTCATACAACTGTGAGACAAAATGTTGCAATCACTGTCAGCATTTATATTCTAGCTCAAACACTTGATCCCACCAGATCAATTCATACATATGAAATTTGTGAATCAAAGAAATATGAACATTTTTAAGGCTATTGCTATATATTATTATCTTATAAGAAAGGGAGATTTAAATACTTTAAATACTTGAAAAAAAGCTATTCAAAATATTTTAGCAACTATGATGGGTGAGAAAGATATGGAAATGTTATTTTATAATACTACTAGTTCTTCAAAATAGTTAATTTATAAGTAATATTTATTGCATTTTACTTCAACAGCAATCTCATTTGCAATTATTTTGCAGGTGAAAACCTATCTCCAGGGAGATAGCCATGAGGTAAATAGATACAGACCTGAATTCAGGTTTTATAGCTTATATTTCTGTGCTTCCCACTGTGCCAAAGCTGCCTTGAGTAACTAACTACAAATTATTTGGGGCAGTAAGGGGGCAGTGGTGTTAGAACTATACAGTTTTACTATAAATGGAAAAAAATTCATGTTTCTAGGAATGATAAAGGAAGAAACTGAAATGTAATAAATCTTCTTACTCTTTCAATTTCCTTGTTGTAGGAAAAGCTCCTAAGAAAATACACTGAATTACTCCTTGTTTTCAAGGGTTTAGTTCAACCAAAATAGATCTTTACCAATAATAAAACAGAAAGGCACACACGAAATGGGTAAAACAAGAACAACAACAAAAATGAATGAACAAGAAGAGCCCAAATAACTATCCATTTCATCGGGCGAGTCAAATGAAAATTTAAAAACTATATAAAGTTAAATAAATATATGTAATTACAAAATCATTAAACATTCTGTTTGGCAAGTCTGCATAATTAAACTCTGTGCATGCCTAACAGCCTAGGTGCACAAAAAGGGCAGGGCACGGGTGTAGGATGCCCAGAAGACGGAGTGACGAGCAGCTGTGTGGTACTTGATGTGGGCACTGGAAAGTGAACATGGGTCTTGTCAAGCACAGCAAGCATTCTTAACAACTAAGACATCTCTCCTATCTCTCACATGCATAAATCTTTACATTTAAAATGTCAAACTGTCATTCATCAACAAAGGTAATTGGTCCACATGTACCTAAACAATACTAATTCTAACCAAGCACCTGGTTTGGGTTTCAGCTACACATGCTACCTTCAGAATGTATAACAATAAAAATAATTACCTTGCAAATTTAGAGACAAGTTCTTTGCCAAGGACCCTTCAAACAATGATGAATTCTCAAGATGGTGCATTAAGTGACTCAGAAATTCCTGCTTTGATCCAGGATGCTCTCTTCCAAACTCATCATTTTCATTAACATACACTACTTCAATGGTGTATGAAGGGTTAAACTTCTGACTCTGGAATTGCTCTAAGGCACTCCTCCAAACATTGGCTTTGTTGATGTGTAATTTCTTAGCTTTCTTTTTAATTTGGACTCCTAACTCTATCAATATTGTTGAAATGTCTCTCCTAAATTTGCTGCCTTGCCTACAAAACAGATTTGAATAAAGAATGTTAATGTAGTTTATGTGAAACAGCAGTTATAGAACATTAAAAGTTGTAGGGTTTTTGTTTTTTCTTTTCTTTTGTTTTTAATTAGAAAAAGATATTCTTTTTATGATATTGGACCCAAAACCAAAAACATTTATCTGATTATCTACTTTTAAATTCTCCCAATCTAATCATCTAACAACTTATAATCACTTGCAACAATGCTCAAGATTATTTTAGTGCCTAATTCAGTAGACTCAGGTTTAAGGGTATGAAGTTCAAATTCTTACTTTCTGGCCAATAGCTAAAACAACTCAATTGTATCAAAATGTATTTTCAACAATGAAACCTTAACTGATAATATTATCAACAAAACTCACATTCCTTCAAATATCTTTTAGTCTAGAACAACTGGGCGAACAATTTTCAACATGTGGTTGTAGACTAAGAGGATCATCTAGGAGTGAGTTACAAATGAGGCCCATCCACACAATCAGAACCTCTGTGGAGTAATAGCCATGAATCAATGAATTAGCCTAGCTTTTTTCTGCCTCAGATTCTCCACCTGCAGGTAGAACTAACGTACTCAATGTACACAGGTCATCTTTCTATGACATTTTCCTACCCCAAACACTGCAGCCACATTTTATTATAGCAGTGGATTCCTTGCTCCTTAGTCAGTGGGGCTCTTCAAGCATGTGACTGGACATTAAAACAGAAACAAGCAGTCAAATTCCTGTAGCACATCTTTGGAAACCGAAATAGTTAAAATTATTTCAAACTATATGAATATAAGACAATGAATCATTTTAATGTGAAATGCTTTAACAAATTATTATAAAGAGTTTTTCAGCTGAATTAGCAAATGGAAATTATTTGCTTTTTGGACAAGCATTTAATATTCTACTTGTTTGCAAATAGAATTATCAAACATTTTTTAAAATCCCTTTTCTGTCTTTTTTTAAAGAAAGAAGTTCACACTTAACCTCCCATTTTCTTTCTGGGGAAAGTAAGGCTCTACTCTACAAAACCGTACCGGTAGAACATAAAATTTAATTCCAGTTTTATTTAAATGTTTATGAACGAGTACAGGAATTACTTAGCTTCGAACGTTGTGGAAATAGAATTAAGAGTACTAATATTTACAGTTAAGCCTTAAATTTCCAAATAGAAAGATTTGAGCTTTAAGGCTTCTGACATTGATTATATATAAAGAAAACATGGTTATAGCATCAAAAAGAAAGGAAAAAAAACCTTTTGTGTGGTTTTATAGAGGGGCTAAGTATGCCTGAAAATTAAATTTCTTGCTTTAGTCTGAAATCAAGTAATGTTTTAAAGATATTTTCCAGTATATTTATATCTTTAACATAATTTTACATTATGACTTAGAATAGAAGAAAAATACTAAAATTGATTAATGTAACCTGGTATTTTGCCTTTTTCCCCCTTCCCTCCCTCTTCTCCTCCTCTCTTCCTTTATGACACCGATTCTACTGTCTCCCAAACTGGAACTCAATTCTTTATGTACCTGAGACTACAGGTATGTGACAATGCCCAGCTATTCAATTTCCTCCCACCTCTCCTTGACCTCATGTATCACATGTTGAGTCCTACAGTTTGAAAAATCATTCTTCTAAACAATTGCATGATCAGCTAATATCCTAAGTGTGTGTGACACCTGAAGTCTAACTTTCCTCAAAGTGATATTTATGTCTTTCTAAAATTCAGAATACATACCTCAGCCGTTCCTTATGCTGGACTACAGTTGAGTGTCTGGGGAGCTTAGGTGACGACTCTTCCAACAAGCAGTCAGTAACTGTCACATTAGTAGAGTTGGCTAATGGGTGTTTGGGGGCCTTTTGGAAATCTACATATTTAAATCTCAAGGTTAGCTTAACGGAAACATCGGTAAACATTTTCAACAACATGCACTTGAACAAAAGCAACTTTATTGAAATTTACAAACTGTTACCTGAATTGTAGGTAATTCTTCTACAGTCCAAACACTCCCAATTTTGTTCCCACGACTGTAGTGAGGAACAGGCTAAGTGTGTTCCACTAGAACCACAGCACTGACAACGCTTTACTTCCCATTTGCTGAGGACATAAAGAAAAGTAGAATGCATGTTCTGTTAGTGCTGGATTAGATTCCCATTACCAGCTGTGACTAAAGTTCAGGCCTGTCATACACCACAAGCAAGCTACCAAAGGCAGTAAGAGTCTATGCCTTCACTATTTCATTTCCCCATTCAGAGCAGTGATTGATTTGGATATGCTCCAGCTAGGTAGTCCAGGTTACCATGGAATCACAAATGTAGCCCAGGCTGGCCATGAGCCAGTGATCATCTTAACTCATTCTCTCAAGTGCTGGATTATAGGCATGCCTCACAACATTTGACACTAAAGTATGTTCTCTCTTCTATTTAATGTTTATAATCTCTTCCTCTAAACAACCTGAACTTAAGTTGGATAAAATTGTGACATGCCAGCTACGCTACCCAAAAACATTGCTAATGTCCAAAATGAGAGAACAGCACACATTCTGAACCAATGGACAAGATATTATAACAGCTCAAAACTGAAGTATGGGGGCTGTCTCTGACAAGGACTCTGTTGCCTGCTTTTCATTCACTTCCCCCTGGTGGCTGCCTTGCCAGGCCACTGAGGACAAGGATGTGCTCAGTCCTGATGTGACTTGATGTGCTCGGATGGGTACTTCTGGTGGCGGGGGAGCAGAGGGGGATAGCTGGGGGAGGGGCTTCCTTTCTGAGGGGTGGGGGAAGGGGAATGGGAAAGTAGATGAAGGGCGGAACCTGCAGGAAAAGAGTGGGCTATGGGGACTTCTGGCATAGCTGTGTGGTGAGCTTTTGCCTGGCCTGCACAAAACCATAGGTTTTATGCCCTAAAACCTACGGTTTTATTCTCACCAAAAAAGAATGAGTGCCTGCACCTCTTGAGCGATGTCCATTACGCTCTGCCCTTGAACCCCTGGCAGGCAGCGGTTGGTTGATTCTCACAAGCTCAGTAGCATCTGCATTTTAAATACCTGGAAACTGAGTCTTAGAGAGGACACGTGGCTGTCACTGCTGACAGGTAAAGTGAGACTGGGACCTTGATCTGTGTGTGTGTATGATGTATACATCACTGGCACATATGATGTGTGTACAGGTTCGCATGAGGAGGTCAGAGATCATACTCCCTTTTCTAAGGTGAGGGCATGGATGAGATGGAGTTCCCTGAAGCTAACAGCCACGTAAAACCTCCGGTGTCCTCTATACCGGCAGATGGGGACGCTACAGCTGAGAAGGCAGACTGGGGAGGGGGTGGCCTCGAGCTGTCTCAGCTGCTAAAGTAACGGGAACCCTTTATTCATTCTTGGCCTGTCTGCTCAGACTGCAATTAGTACTATATACTGACTCCAAAAATTCCTCTGTAAACATACAAACTCAACACACATGCCTCATCTCAACTTAGAACCTCAAGCACCCTCTGTTTCACTAGGAAACCTATGCCATTAGCTAGAGTCTTAGCAAGGGACAACTACCAACTGTGACATGCAGGAATACCTATTAGGCTCATTATAGTCCCGCCCTTTTTTGCAATGACATCTTCGAACATCACAGCGGTCATGGCTCTGCAACAGCTCTTGATACGCATTTTCTTCTAATTCCCAGGATGCATCTCTATAATGAAGGAAGATATAATGTATGTTTTGGTTTAACAGAATTGTATAATTTAATAACAAGGATGAAAGAAACTTAGTCTTTTTAGGCTGATCTTTTAACACAGAATTTTATTATGTTACTTTATCTTACAGTTTCACACTGAACTTTGACTAGTAAGTGAAAAGTTGAAAAGAAATTTTCTAGTATTTCATTTCCAATTTTTGTTGTTACACTCTAGGCTACCTACCTTCAAACAAGTCTCTCTCCAGGTTCTCAAGTGCTGGGATAATAAGTGTGTTTGTTTCGATGGTTTTTGTTTGTTTTTTCTTACTCTCTCCGCAAGACTATGTAGCCTAGGCAAGCCTGGAACTCACTTCCTAGCCCATACTGACCCTAAGGCTCCCAAGAACTGGGATCCAAATTTTCAATTTTATTATGACTATTCAGGATTTCTTATCTGATGGCATTACTAAAATTCTACTACGCCAATCAACCAGCTGCTATACAAATCATCAGAACTGCACTTTTGACCGAGTTACCAAAAGACACATCAGTTAACAAGACCCTGACATCACAGTGCCTGTTTTCCAAGAGCTGGTCATCGGGGAGAGGACACTTGACCACGAGGATTGCCTACTTAGCCACAATCACAAATCAGATGTTATGATTATTGTGAATATTAGTAAATACTACATTTAAATGCTTTTTCATCAAAAGGCCAAATGTTACTCACTTTTCAGGAATATGAATTCCCATTCTCAACATCTCCTTCTGAAAGATGTCAGTGTTATTGCATAGTGTACACCTAAAGAAAAACACTCCTGCATTTATTGCTTGAACCTACAGAGGACAATGGGAAAATCTACTGTCAGCAATGCATCTCCATCAGGCTGTGAACTATATAACTATAGAACATATATTTCCCTTACTGTATATGAAAATATTTTCTTGCCAATGTAGCTTACAACTGTAAGCACTTACTCGAAACACAAACAGCGTTTTCTTCAGCTTAAAAAACATCTGATGAACACATAATTCTTAGCTTTTCAGCAGTTACTGACTTACTTTCTCAAATTTTAATACTGTTCAAGTTTGCATTCTGTTGCTATGAGAAAACAAGCATGAAAAACAACTTCAGCAGAAAAGGGCTTATTTTTATTTTGTCTTAGAACTCCCAGGTAACACCATCACTGAGGGAAGACACTCAGGGCAGGAGCCTGAAGTGTGGAGTAGCTGCTTCTGGCTCAGAATCTGGTATTTTTCCTGTACAAGTGTAGTATGTCAATAATATGTCAAGGTGTTCTTTGTATGTGTATGTTGTATGTGTGTCTTCCTAGGTGTGCATGAATGTTCGTGGAGGCCAGAGGCTGATATCAGTCTTATCTATCTGTCCAGCTAGGCTGACTTGGTCAGTGAGTTCTGAGAATCCATCTATTTCTGAACCCTTCCACTCCCACAATGGCCCATGGTGCAGTTACAGACTAGCGCTGCCATGCCTGGCTTTAAAAGCACTTAAAACAACAACAACAACAAAAAAAAAACAGTATACACATGGAAGAAAGAGAAAGAAACCCATTTCAAACAAGTAGAGGTATGTCAAGAAAATAGGATGAAGAACATTTCCAGGGAAGCCTCCATAGCAACATGTAATTAGGAAAATTACAACCTGATAATGTATTTTGATATGACATTCTAGCCAAATTTAACTAAATAATAAGACAAAACAGGTGAATCAAATACAGAAAAAGAAAAGCTTTAAGGATAGCCCAATTGATAGGAAATAAAATACTTAGGAGTGCAATTAACGGTTTAGAGAAAGCAAGTGGGCGGTTACAACAGACAAGGACACAGAACACACTAGCTGAACTGACAGCTGCAGGGACAGCAGATGAGGATGTCGTGAAGAGGACTGCAGGCTCGGGCTCCCGGGAAATGGAACAGCCACAGGCAGAAAGCAGGAGAGAAAAGCACTCAGTTGCTAGAGTACGAAAATCATGAATCTTACAGATAGATGATCCTTACTAAACCCGGGGTTTGATACAAAGATGTATCTGGTAGAAAAGGAAAACAAACAGAAACAAATACAGAGACAAAAATGACTGACACGTCCAAACATGCGGAGGACACCAAGACTGATGGAGAAATCAAAACTGAGTAAGTAGCATTCTTTCCATCTCTTTTCACAAATTTCTATATGTAGTAATCAAAGTAGTCAAAAATAATACTGAATAAGCCATACACTGCAAGCTAGAGTGGGTATACTTCTAATTTTAGCTAGATTCTAGAAACAAGAGTGGAAAGGTCTCTATAAATCCTGTTAGAAAAAGTGGCTGAAGAATTAGTGAGCTCTAATTAACTGTAGCAACTGCTTATTGACATTTATATAATAGTCAAGTTACTCTATGGATATAATGCTAGATTATTTTTTTTTTAAAAACAGCACTAAGTTTTTTGTTGGCAGTATTACTTCCAGGGTCTGCCTCCCTTTCGCCAAGAGTACTGTGTGTGTGCGTGTGTATGTGCATGTTTGAATGTGAGACAGGCACTCTACAGTGAGCTAGATCGCAGCCCAGTGCTTTTAGTCTTCACTGACAACTTGTTCATGAAAACTCATGCAAGCATTAGGTCAAGTCTAGAAATCCCTTTATTACTAACAAATACAAAGCAAATCTTGAGAAAAATTAACACACACTAGTCAATAATGAAAGTCACATAAGCACAAATCTTTAAGAAATATTATTTTAAAAGGCTCTCACATAAAGTTAAATTGCACTTCCTGATGATGTTTATTACTCTACTTTCTGGTACTCTAACACACACGTTTGTGTGTGCAAATTAACTCACAATTCCAAGAAAATAGGTTCCAACTGAGCACTTCTAACTGAATAACCTAAGCATAAAAGTCTACAAGACTATGCAAAAACCCCAAATCAGCCAAGCCTACTATCAGAACAGTTTGTACTTGTAAGTCTTTTTTGAAATATAAGGGAATTTCACATCTGATAACTTTCAAAAAGTTTGTGAAAAATTAATAACTAGAAACATTTTATATTGCTCAACAAAATAAAATCTAAGCGTCACACAACAATTTAAAAAAGTTAAGTAAATCTTTATTATTTGACATGGTTTTGTCTAAGAGAACTTCCTAACTTTTATATTACATATACAAAACTAAATATTCGGGATTTCTTTCAAAATATTTTAAGAATTTTATAACTGAAGACATTACGATTATGCTGAGTGTACGTCTGTCTGCTTGTTTGCAGTATCAGACCCAGGGCCTGGTGCACGACAGGCACACAATCTCCCACTGAACTATATCTCTGGCCCAGTGTGGGTTTTTATGATACTGTGTCTTTGTTTCAGTAGATGAACAGATTTATTTAAAAAAAGGGAGACAAGGAGACAGACTTCCCAAGAGTAAAATAGGCTCCAAAAGGGGAATATAGATATTTTATGATACTCTCTTTCATTGACAACTTGATAGCAGCCTACAATTCCAATTGGCAGGCAACAGATTTTACGGAGATAAAGATTACAAAGTTATCATACCTGTAAGCAGTCTCTATGAAACCAAGCATTCTTACAACATGGACTTTGCAATATGTTGTAAGTTGGAATAGGCTCGATAAATTCCAAACAGATAGTACATGGTAAGGAGTCTCTATATTTATTAGATGTAATTGCTTGAACCGGTCGATGTTTCCAGCAAAATGACCTAAAAATAGAAATTATTTAAGAATAAATAAGGAAGAGAAGAACACAACTTGACTAACGAAATTTACGTACTTAGGAGAAACTTCTCTTCCGTTTCACAAATGCATCCAAAACAACTGTGGCACCTATAATCTAACAACCTATAATCAATGAAAGTTGAATGCTTCAAAGTATAACCTTGGTGGTGGTCAGACTTACCTCACAGACTAGTATCAACATTCTGTTACTAAGAGTATACATACCCTTGTACTTACTGAGTACACTCAGCTGCACTTAGCATCACATAAACGTAAAAGGAAAACTTAACAACTTCTATCATGTAAGAAGTCGAGGCAATAATAATCTATTCCTAATCTACTTTATTTCCTTTATGTGCATTGGAGTGAGGGGGTCAGGATACCTGGAACTGCAATTAGACAGCTGTGAGCTGCCCTATGGGTGCTGGGAGATGAATCTGGATGCTTTGGAAGAGCAGACAGTGCTCTTCACCACTGAGCCATCTCTCCAGCCCTCCTTTGTATTTTCTATGGCTTGCTTTTGTTCCATGAAACCTGTCTATTATATAAATAAAAATATAAAGACTCAAAGAAATACTCATGGTACCAAATGCCAAAATTCACAAAATCTTCATTTGAAGTTGTTTGTATTCAGGAATCCCAGGCCAAATTTTGATTTTGTTTTTAAACTCAGCCAAGTTTATAGGACAACTTAATTTCTGAACCATGTGATAGAAAATGTTTCACAGACATATGAAATCAAAAGTTCAAAACTACATCCTAGAGCTTAACCGCAAATATGAATAATAATCTTGTAACTCTCAAGTTTTCTCAGACACAATTAATTCCAGAAGAAATAAGAGAAAACACAATATATAAATACACACAAATCTTGTGTTGCTTACATATGTAGTATGTATGTTTAAATCCAGTACATCTTTAAAAATTTTTTTTTAAAAAGTAATTTTACATGGGAACTATATCATTGGCCTAATTCCCATCATTTATATTTAATTTCTTTAGTTAAAACTTTTAAAAATGTATACAAGGTATTTTTCTAGCATATATACACACATATGTCTGTATATATGTAGATACATATATACATATATTATATATAAATATATTACATATATATGTATCTACATATATATACATACAGGTCTGTGTGTGTGTGTGTGTGTGTACCAATTGCATGGCAGGTCCTCACAAATGCCAGGAGAAGGTGCTGGATTCCTTGGAACTGAAGTTTCCAACAGTTGGAGATGCCGTACAAATGCTGGGATGTAAGCCTGGGTCCACTGGAAGATCAGCTAGCGCTCTTAATTGTAGCCCCTCATTTAATATTTAATTAAGTCAAATAACTCACGCAAAATTGCCAGTAAACTGGAAAATACATTCCTTCTGAAGTCCACAGGGCAAGTGATAGCTTCGTTTACACTGGGGCACAACACACCCAATTGATGCTCCGTTTTTCTTGCAAACTGCACACTTCTAAAGGGAACATGAAAACAGAAGCATAAAATAAACTTCCAGTGTGATTAATCTACTAATGAGTATTCCTTGTGGAGACTGAAATAGATTACTATAGCTATCCTAAACCAAATAACAAAGTTTGAGGATGTGCTGGGTACTTTGTTTTTTGTCATTTTGAAACAGTCTACAGTCATCAGAGAAAAAGAGCCTCATTTAAGAAAATGGGCTGGAAAAATGGCTCAGTGGTTAAGAGCACTGTCTGTCCTTCCAGAGGTCCTGAATTCAATTCCCAGCAACCACATGGTGGCTCACAACCATCTACACCCTCTACTGCCCTCTTAGAGCACTAACATGCATTAGATAGATAGATAGATAGATAGACAGACAGACAGACAGACAGACAGACAGACAGATAGATAGATAGATAGATAGATAGATAGATAAATGAATGAATAAAATCGTTTAAAAAAAAAGAAAATGCCTTCATTAAATTGACTTGTAGGCAAGTCTGTGGGGGCACTTTCTCAATCAGTGCTTGGTGTGTGGGGGCTGAGCCTGCTGTGGCTGGTCCTGCGTGCGACAGGAAAGCAGGCTGAGCAAGCCATGGGCAGCAAGCCAGCAAGCGGCATTCTTTTATACTCTCTGCTTCATTTCCCGCCCCTAGAGTTTCTGTCTTGAGTTCCTTCCCTCAACGATGACTTATGTCATAGAAATTTAAGAAAAAATTACTCAACAAGTTGCTTTTGGTCATTTGCTTCTTACAAAACCAAAAAGCAAACTAGTGTGATCACCAAAGAGATATTAAAATTCAGAAAAAGCCAGTCTCTATTAACCGAGGTGAAAACAGTTCCGCAGGCATAATTATTTCAAGGTTTCAAGATGATATCATCCTAGACTTAGGCCATTCGAAATAGTATCATTAGTGTCTTTATAAAAGAAAGGAAAGGTGGATTTAAAACACAAGACACTTAGAAAACAGGCTGAAGACAAAGGAAGAGCCGGGGATTATGCGAACACGGACAAGGGACATCAAAAGCTGTGAACAGCAATCAGGAGGGAAATACAAGAGCTGACTTCATAATCTTTAGCAAGTTCCAACTCTGCTGACACTGTTTTATAACACAGCACACTAAACTTGTGAGGGGCTACATTTCTATAATTTGTTATGGCGACCCTGGGAGATGAGGCCAAAGTCACTAACTATACAGTGGTACACGCAGAAAAAGACAGTAACTAGAGTCTACAGTTGAGCCCAAACAGATCTTGGAACCCTTGGAATGGCCACTGATTCAGTGACTACAGTCTCACTGCTAACACTCGGGTCACTCAGGCCACAGGCCTCTCAGTGAACTTAAACAATGAACTGAAACAAGGATCTCTACAGTTTAAAAAAAAAAGAGAGAGAGAGAGAGAGAGAAAGGAAAGAAGGAAAAAAAAGAGAAAAGAGGTGGGAAGGTGGGAGCACTCTTCTTCAATATATCCTGAAAGGTTCACAGTGTACTAGGAGGATTTAGACATATTATTAGGTAGCTATAAAAACTTGTAGGGGAGACCACCCTTAATTCCAAGCTTGCTGTTATTCAGAGGTTAAGGAATTTTGACACTAGGATCCTGCCTGGTCCTTTGTTTACTCAAACCATTCGGACAGTGCTTCTCTAGAGGCCTAGGTCCTCTTCTTTACTACAAACCCCTTACGCTAACCACTCACTTCTCTAGAGGCCTAGGTCCTCTTCTTTACTACAAACCCCTTACGCTAACCACTCACTTCTATACAACACATCTTAAAAAGTGACTGCCCCACTAAAATACATGCTCTTTCACGCACGTCCTTTGCAAGCCTTTGCTTCCCCATCCACCTCACTGTCCGCACTGAGCATAGACTACAGTGGCAGGGGAGAAGCATGTGCCTGGCTGTTAGAGGCGGCAGGGACCACAAACTCAGTCATCTGTGGCTTCTGTGCCAGTCGCTCCTCTCTCTCGAGACTTGGTACTTGAATCAAAGGTTTTCTCTCTACTGAGTTAACTCTTGTCATTAATCTTCAGCATTTCTGTGACAACCTTTGAGTTCCTGAATTACATTTCAACACTCTTGGACCCGAGTTGAACAAATTAATAAATTATCACATTTCCTAAGCTGTTTACTATGGAAATCAGTTTCTAGTATCACATTATTTGAAAAGAACATAAAAAAAAAAGAAAAGAAAAAAGAAAGAACATCTTGTATTTCCAAGTTTTCCATCTTCAATTTTCATTATTTGTATTAAGACCAAATACAGACTATAGTTCTTTCCTTGCAGATATTGGCACAAAAATAGATAGAAATGGAAGCCACTGCATTAAACAAAACAAGCCAAACTCAAATATATACTGTAGCATGTTTCCTCTTATATGCGAATCCTACACTTGTGTATTTGTATGTTTGTGTAATAAAAGTAGAAAGGGAATTGGGCTGGCTAGTTTTAGGTCAACTTGACACAAGCTAAGGGAAAAGGAACCTTCATTGAGAAAATGTCTCCATAAGATCCAGCTGTAACAAACCTAAAAAAGCATTTTCTTAATTAGTGATTGATAATGGTAGGCTCCCTTAGATGGCCCAACCCTGGGCTGGTGATGCTTGCTTCTATTAAAAACAAGCAGGCATGGGCAAGCCATAAGGAGTACTCTAGTAAGAAGACTCCTCCAAGGCCCGTGCATTCTTAGCTCCTGCCCGATGTTCCTGCCATGTTTTGAGTTACTGTCCTGACTTCCTTTAATAAATAAGTGATCAATCTAACATGACTTCTGTCGTATGCTCTTGCAGGCTCACAGACTGTCACAGATATGAAGGCTATGAGGACCAGAGGGAGGAGTGAAGTGGACGGTGCCTTTGGAGCACAGCACTGTTCCTGTCCTCGTACAGCTGAGATTACCAGCACAAAAACACTACACTGGCCTGCCAACACCCTATTCTGGGAAGAGAGATGAGTTCACAGGTCCCCCATGCCACACTGCTTAGGCAGACAACTGCAGCGAGAGAGGTTGGGCAAGAGGTCCCATGCCTTTCTGAATATCTACAGGGAGTTAATTGCTGGGGGAGGGAGGGACATTTTCTTCCATGGTATTACCACTGTAAGGCACCAATGCTCTTCATGCATCTTCTCCCAGGATTCTTTATGTAATCAATAAAACTCAGTAGGTCATAAAAAAAAAATAAAGAGTAAGTAACAATATGAAGATAAAAGAGAACTGGGCGGAAAGGGACCCAGAGGAGTAAGAGGTAAATGGAGGCAAATACAAAAAAATACATTATTAGGTATCAAAAATTACAGAACTCATTAGTATGTATAACTAACATATGCCAATAAAATAATTTTTAATGAAAAAAATAATTTTTAATGAAATAAATGGGAGTAAGAAAGTGAAGGGGTTGGGGAGAAAGATTAAGAACAAAGCATGTAGGCTTAAAACTAAAACTAAGTAAAACTGAAGGTCAGAGAAATGATGATCAGAAGGTAACGCCTGATCAAAGTTTTTATTCAGCGCAGACTAAACGCTTTTTAAAAATATAAAAATGTTAAAAATAGCCACTAGAATAAGACACTACACTCATGAATTTCTGATACAGAAACTGAGAGAAGGAAACTTTCCACAGAAACACTAGCCGCGCGTGTGGTACTTCGTGTGATGAATAAAACTACTCACCAGTTTGGAAGCTCTATTGACTTCTTTCCTGATGTCTTCTATCAGGAAGCCATAAACTCCTTCTTCTTCTTTACCTCTCTGCCAAATTCCACTTGACATTAACTATGAATATATTCTCAATTAGAAAATACATTCGAAGAAAACCGGTTGGGATTAACAAATATATACATTACTATTTTCCATCGCCAAATAAGGGCAACTCACTTGATTGGGCAGGCACATAAACAGCGTGCACACAAAGACTGACTTTCCGTAACATTTCAGTAACAGCGTGGGAGGAGGTGGGGTATGGAGGACAGAACAGTCGTAACAGTAGGGCGAGCACTGGGGTGAGCAGAGCCGTCAGTTACACTCCCTGGCAGCACTGAAGGACTTCATACTGTTTGTAACAAAATAGAACTTTAACAGGGCTAAGTATGGGGCCAGTGTTTGTGGTGGTGTAAGCAGGAATGGCATGTTTTCCAAGTTTAGTCACTAAAGAGTGAGCTATGTGAGAGGGTTACAAGGATTAGGAGGTATGGCCTGGAGGAAGGAAGTGTGTTATGTCGCTGCGGATAGGCTCTGAGGTTTTAAGCCCATGCCGGTGTCTCTCTGATGTCCTGTCAGGATGTAGCTCTTCAGCACACCTGCTTGTCGCCATGTTCACTGTCATGACAGCAATGGACAAAATGAAACTGCATACAAGCTTCCAATTAAATGCCTTCTCTGGGGGCTGGAGAGCTGGCTCAGAGGTTAAGAACACTGGCTGCTCTTTCAAAGGACCCTGGTTCAAATCCCAGCATTTACAAGGCAGTTCACAACTGTCTGTAATACCAGTTCCAGGAGATCTGACAACCTCACACAGGCAGAACATGGAGGCAGAACGCCATATAAGTAAAATAAAACAATAAAAAAAATTTTTTTTTAAATGCCCTCTCTTAGGAGGCACATGCCTTAAACCCCAGCATTCAGGAGGTAGAGGCAGGTTATCTCTACGTTGGGAGGCCAGCCTGGTCTACAAAGTGAGTTCTAAAATGGCCAGGATTACACAGAGAAAGTCTGTCTTGGGGAAAAAAAAAGTTGTCTTAGTCACAGCAATAAACGGTGACTCAACAGTACTCTTTAGAAGTATTATATTAATAAAAGCCAGACTATAAAGAAAATGTTACTATCACTAGATAGGCTAAATAACAAAGTTAAATAAAAGTAGAATTTGCAATTAGTAAAGTTTGTTTTAGTCTCAACAAAAATTTTGAATATAACTAGCACATAGTTGTCTAAGAATTAAGTATAAGAAAAAAAACCTATTGACTAATAGAAAAAAATTATAATTCTTCATAAAAAAAAAAAGGTTAAGTGGAAATATTTCCTTTTGTTACAAAGTAAACAGAGTCCAGTGGCAGGTTCTCTTAGGGCACAGCCTAAACTACAATACTGGACTCACAGAGCATAATGGCTAGTGTCAACTGTCAGCAACAGAGTGTGCTGGGGTTATGTTGATTGCGTTGACTAGATGGGAACAGCTAGCTGTCCACTCTGAGGGCTGCCATTCTCTCGATGGAGAAGAGCTGAACAGCACACATGGGTTCTCTGCTTCTTATCACACAATGCAATATGATCTGTCCCTCGAGCCCGACCATTGTCATTTCCCCACCAGAATGGATTGTGGCCTGAACTGGGGGCCAGAATACAATCTGTCTCCTTCAAGTTGCCCTTTTCAGGGCATTTCATCACAGCAACAGGAAAAGAAACTAGCGCACAGTGTCTGGGACAACTGCTGTCTACAGTATCACCAATAATTTCGATGGCTCCCAAGGAAAGTCCTGAACTAAGTTCAACAGCACGGATGAAGTTGGGTTTAAAGATATGCTGACGAATTTACTGATTCTCCTTCAAGAAGTGGGGCTTAGTTTTCCTTCCCCTTTAATACAGTACAAAATTAACTCCATTGTAACACAGACAAAAAGCAGAAATGAGAGTGATATGTCAAAACTGCCTAGGTGATGGTTCATCTAGGGTCAGCCTGCCTGCCTGCATTCCTGCCTGTGTCCCTGCCTCTTATAAATTACTGAGAGAATCCAGCAGTCCTACTAAGAAGCCTAAAAAGGAAGAGCCATGACCCTTGTCAATGGTGAGAAGTTTCTGTGGCTGAAAGCATGTGAGCAAGCCACTGGAGGGAGGGCTTCCAGCCTTGCAGATTTATCTAGATAACATCAAAATTAAAATCACATTTACAACTTAGCTATAACTATTCAGAAAATAAATGTTGCTTTACTGTTAAATTTCAGAATAATTTCTAAAGCAGCTAAAAAAAAATAAAAATAAACTATCTTGGTTTCAAATACAATGTAGCCTTAGCACACTAAGATCAAATGTGCCAGGAATTTGTTTCATTTCAGACTCTGAAATTTGAGGACGACAGCGAGGAGGAAGATCTCTGGGGAAGTCTTTCTTCGCTGGTCCCACACCTGTTTCCTTTTTTACTCCTTTCCTTGCCTTCAGCCACAGCTTTTCCTTCCCGGTGCTCTGTGAAATAAAACACTTTTCTTCTACTCCCTGAACCTTCAAACTGGTCTTTTCTGTGACTTATCACTAACAACAAAGGAAACAAAGTGATAAAGATACTCCCCTCACAGATGTGAGCATCCTCTCCTGTTTCTAATAGTTAAGTAAAATCAAACAGGTAAAGATGAGTCTTACCTGTGATCTCAAGAATCTTAAAATCTGATATTAAAGTCCTATTTTATATAGATGAAAAAAAGTTTCAGAAGTTAAATGCTTTCCCTAATTCTTAGACATTCGTGTCATTGAACTTCTTAGAACACACTTCTAGAACTAAGGTGTACTTACCAAACAGTAGTAATGCACACTTAAATTCCATTTCTCGTAAGTTTTCTTTTCTCCGTATTTGTTGGGACAGTCATCATTTCTTCGACAGAAAATACAAGCTAATAGCAAAAAGAAAGTAAATATACAATATATCTTAAAAATTACAAAATAATTCATAGAATTAGTGCTCCTTTGATGTATGTGTATACAAGTGTCTAAACAGTGGCCACAGTACAAATATGGAGGTCAAAAAACAAACACAGGTGTTTCCGTTCTCCCTTTGCACCTTGCTTAAGACAAGGCACCTTCTGCTGTTTGCTGCTGGACACCGCTAGCTGACTCATGCGCTCCCCGCCTCACATCTCCTTGTGGAACACTAGGATTACAGCCATGCCCAGCTTTATGAGTTCTGGAGACCTGAACGCAGGCATTCAGGCTAGCGTGATGAGTGCTGTGCCCACTGCTGCCCATCTCCAGCTGCTGACCTTTGCCTCGGTCAAGAGCGGCCTTAGGTGAAGTCTATGGTTACAGACTACTGGTCTAAAAGGAAGTAACACAGACCTCATTCCCAAATAAATGTGATTCTGGTTTGAGCTATGTGGTAGCTCTGTAAAGGCTGGGGTCAGATGCCTGCTTATTTTATTAGCAGAATTTTCTTAGGGTTAAAACAAAAACAGCAGCTGCAAAAGTCTAGGGCAAGGAGCTGGTACCCCAAAAAAGCTTGAAGAGAAGTGGGGAAGAATGGATCTACAGAGGAAAAGGTTCTTATGAGAAGCTCACATATGTACTGCAGAACACGGGGAGCCATTTGCGTACCCATGGCCATGGCACTGCTCAACAAAGATCTAAGAAAAGCACACGCTGACTGCTGAAGGATCCCGAAACGTTACAAAGACCTTGAGCAAAGAAAGGGCCCTGAAGGCACCAGACATTCCATTTCAAGTATTCATCTTTATAACAGACTACTTTTTCATTTTTATAGCTGACTACTTAAAAATCAGTAAAATTGTTCTACTTCACTATATTTACTGTTAAAATTACCATTTACCACAGCAAATAAATACTAGTTTCTATTAAGCACATTGATATAAGTAAAAATAGAGGCATCTGCGAGGAAAGTAAATAAGTCAGAGTTAAGACTATACTTCAGCAAATGTACAATGGTATTACATAAATCACCAAAAAATGTCCAACTATTGACATTGCTGATACAAAGTCAGGAGGTAGAAAAAGAAAAGATCATAGGTATGTGGAGGTAGAGGGCTTGGTAGGAGCAAACTTCCTTGTTCAAACTACGGTGGAGTCAACAGACGCTCTACAGGTGACCATGAAGAGGCTGGTAAGATAACTGGGGAAGGACGGCTCAGCTGACATTCATCACGCAAGCCTCAACACCTAAGTTTGAATATCTCCAGCCCCTATACAAAGCTGGACTCAGCTGTGCATATCTATGATTCCTGTGCCAACGAGGCAGAAACCTGGATTCCTTGCCAGGCAGCTGAGCCAAATACGGGAGTTCAAGATTCAATGAGATGACCTCTGTCAAGAACAAAAGAGAATGAGCTGGGCACACACTGATCCCAGTACAAGTGAGGCAGGGTCAGGTGGATTTCTGTTAAGTTCAAGGCTGGCCTGGTCTACATAGAGTTGTAGGCTGTCAGGGATAAACATAGTGAGATTCTGTCTCAAAACAAAACAAATAAAAGCCCCCCAAAGCCGAACTGCAGTAGTGTATACAGACACAAGTATGTAGTAATAATTTAAGTTCCTCATCATTCATGGTGACAAGTTAACAGATAATGTTTATAATAAAGAAAACAAGTAACTTAGGAATTTTCTTTTCCATTAAAAAAATTGTCTATTGCTTACATTGTACTCATTTATCAAAGGAAAACCATTAAAAATTAAATAATTTATTCAGATTCAAATCATATTTTATAAATCACAAAAATATATAAATCTGGCAAAATTTCTTCATACAGCAAATTTAGTTTGTGGAAATGAACAAAATCATTACGCTTTAATAGAACATATTAACTAAGCATGCATCAAAATATTCATTCTTACTGGCTGAATAGCATTCTAAATGGATTTTATTGTAATAAAAGTATTTTACATACAGTTACTCACCAAGATTTTTTGAATTATCTGGTTTATTTTCATTCATTTTACTAGGAAAAATAAAAACATAATAATATCTTAATTTCAAAAATCTCACATTAACCATTTTTATTAAATTCGGTTAGTACATAATTATAATCAAATCATATATAATCATTCCATACTGTAGTACAGTACTAATTTCCTCACTTTTTGAACAAATAATAATTCAAGAAGGGTGGTAGAATTTGAGGGTATTAGAAAGAATATTTAATTATTAAAACACTCGTTTATTTTTGTTTTGTTGTTTTGGTTTTTCGAGACAGGGTTTCTCTGTGTAGCCTTGGCTGTCACTTTGCAGACCAGGCTAGCTTCGAACTCACAGACATCCTCTGTGAGCCCCTGCCTCTCTGAGTGCTGGGATTACAGGTATGTGTCACCATGCCAAGATTATTGAAACATTTAAATGTGGAATGTCCCACAGTGCACCAAAAAGTCCTACACAGCAATGAACTGCCAGGACATATTCAAATATTGGCTAAAAAGAAAAGAAAGTAAAACAAAAACCAATGAAAATAAAATCTCCTCATACTTATATTAATCTACAAATTAATAATGTGTTAAACACCTCTTTTTTTTCTCTTTCTTTTGCTATGTTAGGACAGTTTGTGCAGAACTCTTAACTCCTATATAGAACACTTTATATTTAATATTTGAAAATTTGTTCACTATTTAGGAAGGGAAAAAATGACATGAGTAGCAGTGCCACTCAACCTTTCTTAGTTTCTGCTGTGGCTGGTGAACTTGCCAACATCATCAGACAGCAGTGCTCAAATCACGTATACTCTGATAGAAAAGAAAATGTGACTCTCTTTTTGCTCTTGTCATGTCTGGAAGAAGCTTGTTGCCAGGTGACAAGAACTTCCAAGACACTTCCTCAAGAGGTCCGCTCAGTATGGAATGGACATTTCTACTTTAGATGTGAGGGTTAGGACATAAGCACACACTCCCATATCTAGCTTAGTCTTCTGGTGAGAAAGTCTGAGAGCCACTTCAGGGAGGCCCTGAGGGGAGCCCAAACCTCATCCACAGATACTATGATGGTTTTTGTTTTAAACCAAGTTTCAGAGAAGACTGAGAGATGGCAATAGTGGATAATATAACGAAGTATGCCAAATTCCCTCCCATTTCACCTAAGGGCTACCCAACAAAGAAAGCATGGTAATAAAACTCCAGAATTGATGGTCTAAGCAATAAATGCATTAAAACACTGACTTCTTGTTCTGGAGGAAAAAATAAACACTGACTTCCATACAGAAAAACCCAACAAAAACATTTATGTTCTATGAGAAAAACTAGTTTGACCCTGGCAAAGGTAAAATTTTCCAAGGTGCACACCGGTAATCCCAGCACTCAGGGAGGCAAACAGGGCTGTTACACAGAGAAACCCTGTCTAGAAAAAAAAAAACACAACTCAATTAAGACATCAGAATTAGAAACAAAATAGAATGCCCTGCTACAATGTATGCAGAGGAATATAGATTCCTAGCTCCAGAAAACTTATCAGAAGCAGAAGCAGCAACAAAATAACTGAAAACAGATTCAGAAATATATCAGAAACTAAAAACTGGATCACAGATCTAAAATAGGAATTCTAGAAGTGTATCTTGGTTAGACATGATCATTCCTGTCTTTAGTAACAGCACTTAAGAGGTAGAGGCAGGTGGCTTTCTGAGTCCATGTCTAGCCACTGGTCTACACAGTGAGCTCTGGGTCAGCCAAGACTGCATAGTGAGGTCTCATTTCTAGAAAATACAAATAATACAGTCTTTCTTAACATGCGTTAAGATCTGCTAGAGGGCTCAATAGTTAAGGACACTATTCTTGCCAAAGACCCCAAGTTTAGTTCCTAACACCCGTATGGTAGCTCACAACCACCTCTAACTCCAGTTCCAGGTAACCCAATGTCCTCTTTTGACCTCCATAGGCACCAGACATGCATGTGGTACACAGACATATACACACAGACAAAACACTCATATACATCAACAAATCTTAGAAAAGACTTGGGTGGGATCCGAAGGTAAGGTGGTAAACAACAATTAGCTTCTTTAATTTTCTTGTGTGTGTGTGTGTGTGTGTGTGTGTGTGTGTGTATGAGTGAGTATAACGAACAGATTATTCTTCAAAAAGATTGGAAGAACACGAAAACATACAAAAAATTTCTTGTATTTGATCAGATCATAATAAAAGAATAGAAATCATAAATTGTGATTGAGCAGTATACTCTCTTAATTACTAGATCACTGATGAACTTGAAGAAATTTAAACACTTTAAATAATTTAAAAAATTACAATCAGCTGGGCATGGTGGTACACATCTGTAATCCCAGTCCTTGGGGAGAGACAGGTGGATCTCTGTGAGTTATAGGCCAGGCTGGTCTACAAAGCAAGTCCTAGACAGCCAGGGCTACACAGAGAAACCCTGTCTCAAGAAACAACAACAAAAAACCCCCACAAATTTACAATCAAGTGAAAATGAAAGGCTGGAGTGTTGGTTCAGTGCTTAAGAGCACTGGCTGGCCTTCTGGTGGCCCAGGGGTTCAATTCCTAACATGGCAGCTTACAACTGTCTTTAACTCCTGTTTCAGGGGATCCAACACCCTCACACAGACATACATGCATGCAAAACACCAATGTACATAAAAGAAACAGTAAAAGCAGGACTGGCTTTAGCTTGGTGGCTCTGAGACCTGTGGGAGTCACTGGTCCCTAAAAGAGAAACAGTAAAAGCAGAGGAAAGTTCATGGCTATGAATGCTAACATTATTAAAACCAGAGAGAATTCAATCACTTCAAAGACTTGGAAAACAAAGAGACAAAGTGCCAAAGTAGCAAACAGAAATAATGAACAGAAAAAACTAATACAAGAGTCACAAAGAAATTATTTTTGAAATATTGATTGAAATTATGATTGACACTCTTAGCCAAAGTAACAAAAATAGAAATAAAAGATTAAGACAATTTGATAGGAGAGACATAAAATCAGTCGTCTCTGAAAAGGGAGGCCACTGGGGACCAGGCTGGAAGCCTCAGCCACCTTTTCTCTTGTGTTTTTTTTTTAACCAGGCAGAGGTGGTGGCCTTACTTTATAAATTTACTGTCACTGAAGTGCATATTTACAAAGGCTAACTTCATGTCAATTTTACCGAGAAATTGTTAAGTGTACAACTGTTTCTATCATACTGGATAACAGCATATTAACTGCACACAAATGTGAAAGTAGCTTTTTCTGTGGTGGCTAAAATCCCACAAGTGATCTAAATATGCATCAGCAGACGAATGGATTTAAACACTGGAGCTCATTTGTACAATGGAATATCATCACTAAAATGCATTTCATTATGAAGTTTACTGTTTCCTAACTGAATTACCACCCTGGTTGCCCTGGACTAGCCTCACTTTGTAGACCAGGCTGGCCTTGAATTCAGAAACCTGCCTGCCTCTGCCTGAGTGCTGGGATCACAGGCGTGTGCCACTGTGCCCAGCTGTGTATTGACCCCGAGGAAACAGGTTCTCTTGGTGTCTACATATTGGACCACTGTTCATGTTCAGTGTCGCCTTAACATACAAAAAGATCCCTGCAGCTTACACTCCAAAATCTTGTAGTATTCCGTCTCTAAATTTCAAGAATTTGAAGTGAATGATTTACTTCTAGGCTTGTGTCAGGTACATAAGCTCTGATTCAAAACTATGTATCAATTTCTCAGCAGGTGGGTATCTGATAGTGGAATAGTGTATGATAACCCAACCCACTGGTCTTTATAAGGCTGGCCCAACATTATTGAACAGGTTTTTACAGTAAAGAATGTAGGCAAGATAGTTAGGTCTTAAGTTTATAAGTAAACAGCAAACTTTTCTACTTTTTAGTTCTCACATACTCATTAATTATACTGTGCACATCACACATTTTCACAAACAGCATCAAACATTAGCAAATACATTTTAAAATTGATTAAATATTGTGGTACCTCGGTTTATCTTAATATAGGGATAATAAAACCGTTATCAGGCTTGAGTGAGAAAATGTGAACATAAAATGTGTATTTGCACCTGATATATCATGAATCCGAACAAATACCTGTCTTTTTTTCTTATCTGAAACTTCTTCAGGGATTATTTCAGTATTTATTTCTCACATTTGTGATGTTTACAGACTGTGTATCACTTGATAACAGTTAAGAATCAGACTGTCTGGAACCAGGATGCAAAGAACTTTTTTTAAAAAAGAAAGCTGAAATTTGAATCATATATTGAATAAAAAGGAAAAACATTGGAAATTTTTACAAAACAGAAGCTGAAGACTGCAGTATGAGACAGGAAGTGCTACTTGCAAAAACTTTTATTTTAGGACAGTAAGATGGCTCAGCTGGTAAAGGAATTTGCATTTGACTCCTGGAGCGAACAGGGTAAGAGGAAAAAACTGACTCACAACTGACAATCCCCAGGATACAGGTTCTCTTGGTCTCTATGGAATGGACTGAAATGCCTCTACTCATAAAGCACACGCACGTGCACACACAAACACACACAATAATGCTCTAGTTAAATCTAGTTTCTGATCTTCACTTTTATTACATTGTAAAGTTTAATGAAAATCTGTGTACTATGGTTGTACCATGTTAGTAGTTATATTTTAGACATCGGCTCTCATTTACCACGCATCATACACACGTACTAGTCCTTTAAATTCCCACAGTAATCCCACAAGGAAGTCTTTATCTCCATTATACAATTAAGAGACTTGAATCAGGAAGGTTAGACAGCCTCCCCAGTCAAGGTCACACAGCCATGAGGTAGTAGTGATGGGAATTCTAAACAAGAAGTCTGGTTCTAGATGTATGTCTTTAATCAATATATTACCAGGCTTTTCTAGGAAGACCATGTTTTTAAAACTCTAACTTTTCTGCTAAAACGCAGTTAGTCAAATCCACCTTCTAGGAGTTAGAAAAGTTTGGGTACCGGCATGGGCATTCAGGGAGCCCTTATAGGGGTGTGACACTTGTTGACGGGGTAAAAGAAAAACAAAGGAAGAGCCTAGGAGCAAAACACATTAGGATACTGAAAATCTAGAACAGGTGACTATGCTGGCACGTACACTTGCTGGTGTATGAAGCTAGCACGGTGATTTGCACTCTTTGGAAAAGAGAGCCGGGATCTTTGCGGGGGTCTTGAGGAACGCTTTCATTTCAATGACCGTGCTATTTAAATGCTTTCTACCTGGTGAATGCTAAAAACAACATTTACTGGCAGGAATGGAGGAGCAAAGTGCCATTTAAAAATGATATTTATATATTCCGATGACACATTACTCAGTTGCACAAGATCAACCTGACAGTTTTCAATAAGGCGAAATACAGAACTTCTTTTGAAAGTTTACTTCTTTGGAAAGTTTACAGCTACGTGCACATCTAAGCAACTCGAAACGGTATAGGTTTTTGTAGGGGTTTGTGAGAGTCCAGTTCATCATAAAAGATGAACAAAAAGAAAACCCAAACAAAAACGCTCTTAGCAAACTCAATTCTTGATGCACCGGGTTCCTCTAAAATAACTCGAACAAGGTCGGGCAAGGAAGGAAGAGCTGAATAGGCAGGAGGGGGACAACGAGGCCGTACCCCCATTGTTATCAAAATTGCAGCTGTGAGCCACCGCCGCGACTGTAGCCACTTCAGACCAGCAAAGGGCTCAGATTTTTGCGGTGCACGAGAACTGTCAAAGCGTGAAAGAAAAATACCCCGGTTTTAAACACAAAGGAGACTCGGATTTCAGCCTAAATCCCCACGAGGCACTTCAAGGCTGTCACTTCTCAGCGCACAACTGGGACCACGCCGAGCGAGCACCCCGGGCGAGCGCCTCCGCCTAGGCGCTCGGCAGCGCTCGGCGGCGCCCGGCGCGGGAAGGAGCCGCGGCGCCCCCCCGGCCTCCCGGGGCCCTCCGTCCCCCCGCCGCGTCCTCACCAGGCGCGGAGCTGGAGTCCCGGGGTCGCAGCGGTGCCACTCGCCTTCCGCGCAGCGCTGCTGGACGCCCACCCCGCTCGGCCCCATCCAACGGCTCGCAGAATTCAAATTCGCCCACTTCCGTTTGCGACCCGGAAGACGCGGCTGCTCCGCCCCACCCCCGGGAAGCCGAGAATTTAGGGTTGTGTGCAGGGGCGGGCGCGCGGACCCGGCAGAGAAACAACCCTCTGCTCGGCACGTCCCGGAGACGGCCGCACGCACCAGCCAGCAGGCTGCCCAGCGAAAATAGTTCGCGCATGCTAATGATCGCGTAATCTCGCTGCCCTCTTCCGTAGGGATTATGTTGCATCACAATTGCCCATTGTCCGAGGAGATGCCTCCCTAGCTCTGGGACGCCGGTTTCCTTTAGCGACTCCGGGATAACCCCAGTGTATCCTGAAGGGCTACAACTGAGAGGTTTAAAACCTTACACAAAGGTTGTGGCTCCTTAGGCAGGCGGCAGAAGCTGTAAACCGGATAGCTGGAATTAGCTGGTCAGCTAACTCCGGACTACGCGGATTTAAACCTCGGCGCCTTTCAAAACACAACTTGAAAGTTTGCTGGATTCCTAGAATCTAGGTACTTGGATTCCAGATGCCTGGCACGAAGGGAGAAAGTTATTTTTTTTTAACTGATGTAACGTTTTTAACAGTGGGGAATGGGAAATAATATGTTCACCAGTGAAAAATATTAAATTATGATGCTTTAGGGTTTTATATACTAATACTGAAGGTGTTCAAAGTTCAGAATCAGTAGATGGTCAAACACCGAGAAGTGAACTTTAGAAGGACTGAGTAATACCCCTCTTTTGAAGTATATCTGTGCAAATGTGTGGCGATACAAAGGTTCGGGGAGGCATTGCAAACTACTAATCTTTTCTGTCAGTGAGGTTGGCCAATGGGGAGGGCCAAAGAGGGAGGGTTTCTTAAACTGTTACAAGCCGCTGAATCTTCAGATTCAGAGTATTTGACACTGCCAGTTGCTTTTTAAAAGAAAATTGTTAGCAAATTGAACACATTCTGAATAGAGCAACAGGCGGGGCAAATGAATGTGTGATTGTTGGCTAGGCTGCTTACATCAGTGATTGAGGGGCTGGAGACTTGATCAGCAGCACTGACTGCTCCTTTAGAGGTCCTGGGTTCAATCCCAGCACGCATGAAATGGCCTACAGCTTGAGTTCCAGGGGACCTGTTTTTTTTTCTGGTCTTCTCAGGTACTGAATACACATGATATGCACGCACGCAGGCATATCACCCAAGCACATAAAAGGAAAACAAAAAGTAAGAATAATGTAGCTGGACTTGGGGAGGGGCATGGGAGGACATGAGGGAGGGAAAGTAGGACTGGGAGGGGCTGGAGGACGGGGCTACAGCTGGGATACAAAGTGAACAAACTGTAATCAATAAAAAATAAATTAATTAAAAACAATATAGCTGCATATTTTGTCATTTCTATATTTCACTAATGTTTCCCATTAATATATACCCATTAAATATATTTTTTCTATGTATTTTACAATCCTTTGCACTTTCTCTCCAGTAACTTTTATCTCTCACAGGAATTAAAATTCTCACTCTGACCTTCAAGCAAAGTTAAATATTCTTAGATAAACAGTGTAAGTCTATTAAGTGTTTGCTAAGCATAAACACACTAGAGCTCTTGATCGGTTCATTTTCTCTGCCGGTGAAAGAATTAAAAGGCAGGAAAAATCTTGAGCATAACAGGTAGCATCAGAAAAATCTCAGCACCACAGTCAGCAGCAGACAGAACCAGGTGTTAAGAAAGGGCAGTTACTGGGGATACAGAAATAGATGCATTCAGTAGACACAAAGAAAAAGACCCTCTGCAAAGTAGACCCGGTGGGAGGCTGGACTGCAACTCCAGAAGCCAAAAATTTAGTCTCTTCTCTAGGGCTGGTTTGTTTGTTTCTGTTTTTTAAGTTTCTCAAGAGTTTTCCTCCACCCAATGTAGAGTTGGCCAGTTTGAAAAAAGCTGGGGTAGTTGATTGGTCCACCACAGTTGCATAATTAGTCTTAATCCTGCATTAAAGTAGTTGAGCCAGCCCATCAGCAGGTGGGCGACGGAAGCCCACAAGGCCTTTGTTTTAAGCTGTCTCAAGGCAGCAAGGTGTGGAGGAAACCTGCTGTTCTGTAAATCTGCCACCTTAACTCCCCAAGGTCCTGCTCACTACCTGTCTGCCAACCAGGTAGTCTGTCCAACTCCTAGTTTCTTACAGTGATAGGGGAAAAAAAATATCCGAAAAGGTGAGTGTTTTCGGATTACTTTGAAGATACTCTCTGTATTAGTCTAGACTAACAGACTTTATAGAGTGAATCTCTGTAGAAAGGGAATTTATTAGAGTGACTTGCAGGCTGAAAGTCCAGCTAATGCAAAACAGTGGCTGCCTGTCCAAGAATCCAATAGTTGCTCAGTCCGTAAGGCTGGATGTCCCGTGGAATCTGGAAGAAGTAGGCTCTAATGTCAGTGAAGAAATGGACTTGGCAGAAAGCAGGAAAAGTGAAAAAGCCTCCTTCTTCTGTGTCCTGAGGCTTCCAGCAGAAGGCATGGCCCAGATTAGATGTTGGTTTAAGATCTGAATTAAAGGTGTGTCCTCCTACCTCAAAGATCTTGATTAGAAGTAGTTTTCCCTCTTCAAATTAAGCAGCTGTCCCTCACAGTTTTAAGTTAGTCCGGATATAGTCAAGTTGACAACCAAGATATTATCACAGAGTCACGCCTTGCCAACTAATTTCCAAATGAAAACAAAAACCAGGACATAAAACCTTACCATAATATAACTATTTCTGGTACAATCGCAAATACATTATAGATTTAAGCAGGTCATAACTATTCCTAATATGATATAACTGTCCCTCATACAACTGCAAACACATTATAAATTTAGAATAGGAGGCAATGTCCTTTTAGTATCTTAAATATGATAAGCATTGAGATTCTTTTAATTGATGTTACATCACATGATAAAAAATTGAGGAAAGAAAGCAAGTATTGTATGAACGCATTCTTAACAAAATACACAGCAGAAACACACCAATTGTAATCCCCTTTTCTGCAACTGGTCACGTGGTCTTACCTGGTAACTGCCTTCCTATACTGCCCATTCTGAATTTCCTCCACTTTCTGCAAGCACTTCAGCAGCTCTTGCTCATTGCCTGAAGGAGTGACTTTTACCTTCATTCCTGAAGGCTCGGTGCCCTTTGTCGTCCTGCCTGGCTTAGGCTGTTGTAGTTTCCCATAGACTTTAACCACAGGTTATGGTAGCACCAAGAGATGGCCCAAAGGATCTGCACTTCAGACCTTCGTGTTCTTACCTACACCACGAAGGAGCAATCCAGTTTGCGCATGGTAATCTGGACCAATCACCCCTCCTAACTCTGCTTGCTGCTCCTTTCTCAGCCTGTTGGCTTAAGGGCATCAAAAGTTCAAAGTAGCTAAGGAGAAGTCTGAGTTTCCAGTTCAAAGGAATGTTTGTTCTGACTCCTGACAGGAGGATTTTCAGCTCTGTAACCAAAACTTCTAGGCCAGCAGAACTTGAGGTCTTAGGAACAGGAACAAAAATTTCTCTAGTGGATCATGTGGGGTGATTGAATAAAGCTAATTGTTGTTATAAACAATGATGAAAATACCACCCGTTCTATTTTACCAATAAAGACACAGGAGCCAGATGCTGGAGTGAAAACCTGCTAGCTCAGAGAGGCAGAGAAAGTTGATCTTTCTTTTCAGCTCAGATCCAGATGGAAAAAACCCAAAAGGCTCAACTCACAGCCCAGGAGGAAAAGGCCAAAAAACCCAAGGCCAAAGGCTTGCTAGTTCAAAGCCGGAAAAGCCAGAGAGCCAAAGCCTAAGCTAAAGCCAGCTTGAGCTAATAGCCTTGCTTCTTCTTGACGCTGTCTTAAAGTCAAAGTCCCTCCTACTCTTTAATCCTGTTAGCTGGTTTCTTGCTCCACCTCTTGACCTAGGGTTGACTTTATTACATCTGTTATACAGAGAGCTCTTGGATTAAAAGTGTGTGTTAGGGCTTAACCATACCAAACAATAGACAAGTTTTTACAGTTCACAATTTGGGGATCAGATATCCTGCCACAGCTATTTCCTTTTCCATCCCTTGATTCCTGGAGCCATGGATCCTGACTACTGGAGAAGCCATACCATATCTTGTTCACTGATTCAAAGCTTAAGCTGCTCCTATAGAACCTTGCCCCAGCTCTCCAGGCTGCTGCCGCTTAATTGGCACTGTAACTGTGTCTTCAAAAGGCCATCCCACCTTTCTATCAGGCCAGCTGTTTAGGATGGTGGAGAACACAGTGAGACCGATGGATTCCACCACTGTGGGCCCACCATCTCACTTCTCTGGCTGTGAAGTGAGGTCCTTGGTCAGGAGCAATACTACATGGAATACCATGTTGGTGGATAAGGCATTCTGTAAGTCCATGAATGGTAGTTTGGGACAGAAGCATTACACGCAGAAAAGGCAAATTCATAATCAGAATATCTACTCCAGTAAAGACAAAGCATTGTCCTTTCCATGGAGGAAGTGGTCCAGTAATTATCCTATTATTCTTCATGTAACTTGCTTGTGCCTTCAGGTTCTGCATGGACCCAGTCACATCTATACCACTATGATTTAGAATAGATAGCTGCTGTGAACAGCTGATTTTATGACTTAGGTCAAGTAGCACCCAACTCATGATGAATAGCTCTGGATACATGGCAACTTAGTGGCCCATTGTCAAACGTTCAGTTTCCACCAAGGCTCAGAAGTAGACCAATAGCTGTCTCTCAAAGGAAGAATTGTTGTCTGCGGATGGTGGTAGAGCCTTGCTACAAAATCCCAATTCTGTGATTCACCTGTGGGGCCTGCTACTATTCCAAGTAGCATCTCTATTTGCCACTGACTCTATTTACCCCATGTGCCATGAGATCTGTTGGATCACATAGTCCAGGTAGACAGAGCTCTTCAGATGTGGAGGTATCTCTCTAATCATTGTGTATCTTACAGGATTAGTGAAGGGCATGT